GGAAAACTGAGGGGCTCACTTTCTGAAGGTGTCCCTGCCCACCCCGATCCCTGGAGGGGACTCACAGAGGCAGCTGCGCACGCTCAGGCGTCTCTGGGGAGAAGATTCCAGAGGATGAGCCGGACCTTGGTTTCTTCTTGCCCTGGGCTCAGCAGGGAGGGGGAGAAGAATGTGATCCTGGAGCCTGCGTGGGCCTTAAATATAGCAGCGCTGAGACAGTTGATGACAATGGATGGGAACTATGGGGAGGGGGGGCAGAGAGGAGGGGCTGTCTCTCCAGGCCAGCCCCGCTCAGGCGGCAGCAACAGGTGGAGCCCTCCCCACCCCCACCGCAGCCTCTGCACAGGGCTCCTTCCCTCAGCGGGATTCCTTCTGCCCAATTCTAGAGCCCACCCTCCCACCTCCAGCCCCAACTGAAGTAGAGGGAAGGTAAGAGCTCAGGCCTGGTTGGCGGGAAGGCAGCTACAGGGTGGTCTTCCCTGCTGCTGGGGTTCTGACTGGCGCCTTGGGGCAGACACCCAGCGTCTCTAATCTGATCCCCCACTGTGAGCAGTGGAACTCTTCGTGAAGACAGCGGAAAGAATGTGACCTAAAACCAGTATTTAGTGCTGGTACCATATCACTGGTCAAAATGGAAGCAGCTTGCTTCTCATGCCCTGTGTTGCGTGGGGTGTGGCCCCGACAGCGGCCTCTTCCTTCACGGGGCGGCATTTCTCGGGGTTCCCGAGTGGCCACTCTGTCTTCCTAGCCTTTGCCACGGCCCCTCCTGAATCTCAGTTCTTTCCCCCACGTTCGTTCAGGCCCACCCTTTGCAGTCAGAGGGGAGTAACACCCATGGTGTGGAGGAAGCTTTCATTAAATGCGGAGACAGGCAGGAATGGAGGCGGGGGGCGATCAGGAAGGTACCCCTGAGCCAGGTCTTGAGGATTGACCAGGTTTGAGGAAGGGGGTGTCAGCTCTGGTCCAGAGAGCACAGCTCCCCTCCCTGGCCTCCTCCTGGGGCCGGAAACACCATCGATCTTTCCAGTGTCTCAGGGACAGCTCTCCAGAACCGGGGGCTGGGGGTGGTGGGAGGAGGGAGAGGGAAAAAGCGAGCGAATGCAAGTGAGCTCTTCAGCTAAAATCTTAATCTCCTGCCCTATTTGAAACCCTCTTTCTAAACTCTCCTGCTTCTCCCCCTTCCTCCCTGGGGACAGTGTTAAAGGCCTCTTCTGGGGAGAACAGTTGGTGTCTGTCTTCCTTCTTGTATGGAGCTGACCTCAAAAGGACTTTCCAAGACCCACGTGTATACACTCTCCGTGAGGTGTGAGTGTGAATCTGTACATACAGCAGGGCGGTGTGGGCTTCCAAAGCAGCAGGAGATGGACATTTAAACTGGTCCTGTGACTGCCTTTCCCCCAAGGCAGCCTGGTGGAGGGGCCACCGCTACTAGCCGTAGGACCTTGGGTGAGTCACTTCAACCTTTCTGCCCCTGTTATCTGTACAGTGGGCTCCACAATGCTGGTTTTCCAGGGAGAATGAGAAGATTGGGTTAGGGCACGTGATTGCCCGGCTCCCTGGAGACACTGGCTAGATGAGACCGCCACTGATGATTCCATAGCTCTAGAAATGCTGAGAGCCTACCCTCCTTCTGTGTGTGGGATTCCCATTCAGCCCAGTGATGCCCTCCTTCCTCACTGAGGCAGTGCTTGGGGGAGGTCTGGAAGTGTCTTAAGGAGCACATAGCTGACCCCGCAGGTCACAGTGTCGAGCAGAGGTGAGACTTGGAATTCTACAAACCTCGGTTGAAATCCCAGCCTCTGGCCCCTGCGCTCACTAATGGAGGGACCCTGGCCTCCTCTCTGGGCTAACTTAGTTTCTTTGTTGGTGAGTTAGAGGTAAGTTCTAAAACACAGGAAGCTCGCCTGCCTGTCTTGTCCACGGCATCCCTAGCCCTGAGAACAGCGCCCGCCCTACAACTAGCCCCTTCATATATGCTTGCTGAAGAATGAATGAATGAATGAATGAATACCTATCTTGCAGAATGGTTGTGAGATTCAAATGAGGTTAAGATGCATAAATTGCCGGGTACAGTAGCTGGCTCCTCGTGGTACCCTCAATATCTCCTTCTTTCTCCCCTTTCCTTCTCTTCTTCTCCCTTTTATTGCCTTCCCTGGAAGTATGAGCATTAAGGACAGTTGTTCAAATTCACGTACCCAACACCTTGACCTTCCACGCCACTATTTCAGACACCAGCCTTCCTTTCCCCCTGCTTCTCTCCCTTCCCTCCTTCTGTCCCTCTCCCCACTCAGTTAATTCTGCTTATGGTTCTTCTCAGACTTACAGGTCAAAATGTATCATTCCTCTGCCACTTCCTCCTGAGCGTGGGAAAGGAAAGTGGCCTTGAGCAGCCTAGGGGCTGAGTGTGGGGGCCAGGGTCTCAGGGCTGTGACCCACCAGCCACAGCAAGTGAGGACATTCCTGCCTCTGCTGATTGATTCTGTCTCACTTTCTGGAACGTCGGCTGGGGACAGCCACAGGGGACCAGACTTGGCGGTGATGCATGGTCATGGCCTCCTTGTTCAGACTGATGCTCGGACCTGGGAGGGGCACAGAGAGACCCAGACTCTGGGACCCGGGAGGAGCTCTCGTCTCAGGGGCCCTATCCTCTGAGTGGGAACTCGGGCAACCCCTGTATGTGCCCGGGGCCAGGGGTGTGGGAGGGCAGAGGTCTGCAGACTTCACGGGTGGAAATACCCCCTGAGTAGCCTTGCCCCGCACCCCCATCCAGGGGCTGGAATAAGGGCGACTCCTGGGAGGTGATTTGAAGCAATCCACAAGGAAACTGTTGGTATGAGGACCTTGTTCCCTCCACTTGCCTGAGAGGCATCCCCAAAGGTGTTTATTAGAAATACAGATTCCCCAGGAGCCATTGATTTAGCGGGTCTGGGTGGGGCTGGGGAAGCTGCGTTTTTCATATGTTCCCAGGGGATTCTCACAATGCGGCAAGTTTAGGACACCAACGTGGGCAAGTAACCTCTCTAAGCCACATTTTTCCTCGCAAAATATCAATAACGCAAAGTTCCATGGCAGTTTACCGGGAGGAGGATGAGTGAACCCGTAAGCGACATGGCTAAGTTCTTCCTTCTTTTTTTAAAGATTTTATTTATTTATTTGACAGACAGAGATCACAAGCAGGCAGAGAGGCAGGCAGAGAGAAAGGGGGGAAGCAGACTTCCTGCTGAGCAGAGAGCCTGATGCGAGGCTTGATCCCAGGACACTGGGATCATGACTTGAACCGAAGGCAGAGGCTCAACCCACTGAGCCACCCCGGCGCCCTGAGTTCCTCCTTCTTGCTTGCAGTCCTGCTAGCGGCTGCCACATCTGTTTATTCCTGCGAAGACTCCCTCAGCAGGGCTGGGTGCGGCAAAAGGCTATGCAGATTCCTGGTAATGGGGTCAGGGCCTAGGATACTCGGGGATGCCAATGCCTCTGCCCAGAGGGGCTTCAGGCCCTTTGCCTTCTGGCTGCTTCCAGCCCTATCTGCCAGCCTGGGCTGCCTGCTTGGGAGGCTCACAGGGCTCAGAGCCATTCCTCTCTCCCCTTAGGCACTCAGGCTCCACCCTCAGAAAGTCATGGATAGCTGGGACATCTGTCACCCCGAGGAGCTTAGAGAGCTTCTCAGCCCTTTTATGGCCTTAAAAATAGATCTATCTCTGTGACTCCCTGTCCCACTTACCTGGTGAGAACAGTCCGGCTGTTAAGTTGTTTCTCATTACTGAAGATAGTCAACCTTTGGCCAAGTTCACCCCAAGTGACAGGAAGTAGACTTGTTTGCAGTGTGGGGGAGGGGAATAATCACGGGGCCACCTTAGCGGCTGCTGAGAGAGCAGCCGAGGTGGTCAGGAGGGTGGCCCACCCCTCTGTTATGGAGATATTGGATCTAGACCCGTGACCCTGAAGAGATGTTAAAAATTAATAACAAGCAGATAAGAGCACCACCAGCTGGTGCTGTGTTGTGTGTGGGTGGGGGGGGGGTGAGGAAGAGGTGGGAGACACATCTGGGTGCAGAGAACGGAGGACATTGTATACTCGGGAAGATCATGCTGAGGCAACAGACGTTGATCTTGTTTCTCAGAAATGTTCAGAAGAGGTTTGGGGACAACAGGGTGTCAACAGGTCCTGACCCCTTAAGGACCCCATTGGGGCCGCCTTCCTTGCGCCCCCTCCATCCCATCTCCGAGAATCCACACTAGTGTGGGAAGCTCCTTCTCGTGAGGAGGATGGAAACGCTGGGTTTGAGCTCCAGCGGTGTTGGTGTCCCAGCTTCAGTGGGACGTCCCCTAGCTGGGTCCCTTCTCTCTGGACCTTGGTTATCTCATCCTAGGGTCATCTGGGAGGTGAATGACACAAAGGACATGCCAGCATGCTGTAAGCACAAGCAAGGAGCCATTTCCTTATGGGAGAGCGGCCACAGGGGCAGAAAGGCAAGTGAGCGAGCACCGAGTACCGAGTACCAAGCACCAAGTACTGACCACCAAGTCCCAAACACCAAGTACTGAGCACCAAGTACTGAGCACCGAGCACCAAGCACCGAGCACCGAGCACCTCACTGCCTCTGCTGAGGTGTGGGGAAGGAGATCTTCAGGGAATGCCACCGCACTCCCAAACAACTTCCCCCTGCAACCTCAGAGAGAAGGCTCCATTTGTCTTTGGACCCTGTTTCCAGAAGGCCCTGCCGTCCTTCCACCTCCCCCAGGTAGTCTAGCCCCTCTGGCCTGGCCTCGAGCAATCCTGAGAAAATCAGGATAATTTGAGCCCACGAAAAAATGCCCCATGTGAAGCCACCCTGAGCTGGGGGAGTGGGTCATTCACCGTGCGGCCCGATTACAAAAAATCACAAGGGGACATAGCTACATTCATTGGGCACTGCCCACGGGCCAGGCCCCATGAAGTACTTTATAGACATTGTTAACGTCATCCTCACCACAACCCCGTGGAGTCGGTCTTACGATCCCCATTTTACAGGTGAAGAAACTGAGGTTTTGAGCAGTGATTCATTTCCTTGAAGTCATACAGCTGGTAAGTGGTAAGGTGGAAATTTGAACCCAGATGAGCTGAACCCAAGGCTGAGTTTTCAAAGTCTTGAAGTGCGTACTCTTTCTTGGGGGCCGTGTGCCTCCCCCCCAACCCCCGTTCCTTACGAATCCTGCTCTCCGGAGAGGGTCTACAGCTTCTGCAGGCTGGAAAGGCCTGTGTGTTCTCCCTCACGGGTAGACCTGATTTTCCCCTGGGGTAAAGCCTCTGGCAGAGGAGCCAGGTTGAGACAGTGTGGATTTTCAACAGCGGCTTGGTGGGGACTGAGCCCCAGGCTGCACCCCTCCCTGGAGTCTTGCCATCGTGCTATCATGGGCCAAGTTCTGGTTTAGCCCAGCCTGCTGTGGGGTGTCCTTTCCAGGCTCCGTTTCTCAGGAGGAGGTAGAGACCTCACTCTCTGTCTAACTAGCTTATGAAACTGGCTGGGAGTGGGGTGAACTTCGTGTCCAGCCTCTTAGGAGCCAGTGGCGCTGTATCTCCGTGAGGTCTCCGTGCATTAACACCCAGCACTCTGATGGTCCCCTCCTGCCCCGCGGAGCTCATCTGCACGTGCCGCACACTCAGAATCCTCCAGCCGGAGTCCTTATCATGCCGCTTTGCTCCGACACCTTGCTCAGCCGTGGCAGGGGCCCCGGGTCCCTCTTTCCTCTGGTTCTTTCAAGAGAATTCCCCTGAGGCAAGGCTGCAGAGCACGTGGCAAGGTTGGGGGTGGGAGTGATGGCCAACGATGTGAGCTTGGGTGGGGACAAGGAGGAAGCCCCGACCTGCCCCGTTCTCTGCTCAGGCCTCCCACTGCACGGTCAGGGCCAGGCCTCTAAAGAGAGAGTCCAGTTCTGTGGGGGGCTCCAGGTCTAAGTCCTGAGAGGCTGGGCTCTGGGCCTCCATCCCAGACTCAGGACCCTCATCCTTGGGACACACGAGGGACTCCAGCAGTCTCCAGGGACTTGGTTCCTGGTCTGTGGGGGAACATGGGAGGGAAGGAGTGTGCAAAGGGAGGGAGACCGGGTGGCCCTCGATCTGGACAGAGGCGAGAAGGGGGAGCTGGCCCTTTAGGTATGATGGTGTCCCAGGTTCCCCTCTATGTAGTACCCTGGGGTCAGGTGCTCTGTCCTTGTGAGCTCCCAGAGGCTGGTGGAAGAAATTTGCTTCTTGGGGGTCCTTCATATCCAAGGAGGTCACCCCTTGCAGAGGAAGGCCACCTGGGATATGGGTTTCAGCTGGTGCCTTTTTCTGGAGCTGACCTTTAGTCCTGCGGTGTTGGGGACTAGAGGGTGTCACGGGTGGGGAGTCTCTGCCAGAGCCTTCCCCGCAGGTCCCATAGGAAGGCCAGCGGTCTGGAGCGGTCTGAGGGGTGTAGGAGGGAGGCTGAACCTCAGCCATGGCCTGTGCAGTGTAGCATGGAGTTTTAGCTTCGGGGGTTACTTGGGGCGCATAGGACAGGGGCTTGACTTCAGGGGCCGCCTGGGGTGCGTAGGACAGTGAGGTGAGCGTCTGCTGAGGTGGCACTCCAGAGGCCCGGAGAACGGAGACGTCTGGCTGCCCAAGATAGGTGATCTCAGACACACTGTGCCGTGGTGGGGATCCTGGGGGCTCCCTGGGCCCAGAGACCTTGACTTGGGAGTACTGGACGGGCTGGGCCAGACTGCTGGGGCTGCTCAGGTCAAAGACGGGGATCAGCACGTGTTCCTGGATGAACCGCAGAGGCTGGAAGGTTAGTACTCGCTGGACGTTCTGTGTGGGGACAACAACAGTCAACCCATTAGGGCACGTTGTAAGATCCCTGAGGGGCCGCGGGTGGTTGGGTCCTCCATGGGGAGGCAAGGGGGGATGGGGTAGACCCCTGGGGGGACTTTTCAAAATGCACATGCTGCACATCCGGTTGGTTTTCCAGAGACTCCTCTCAGTTCTGGGCCTCCCTGAAGGTGGAGGCCGTCCCTTCTAATGATCTAGAAAGTAGGTGACTCAGATTGGAGGTTACCTTGGGGTACACTCTCAAGGTGGTGGCCCACACAGCTCCTCACTCGTGGGTCCCTAAAAGCTTGATGGAAGGGGCCAGTTGTGAAAGGATAGCAGATAAGGGGAGGCCGGGAGAGTTCTACAGGAGATAGCTCATGTGGGCTTTGATATTGAGCAAAATGCCCTCAGGCTCCCCTGTCCCTCACATGATAACCAAGAACCAGCTCCTAGAGCCCCAGACCTGTCAGATTGGGCCTCTGCGGCAGCCGACCTGCTACTTCAGCAGAGAGCCAGTGCGTGCCGCCATAGTGACTGCCAGTGGGACTTGGGTGCTTTATATGGGGCTTAGTCTGCACAGGGACCCCTCAGTCCCTCGCAGAGGTAGAGGCTCTCCCAGGTCCCACGTTCCCTGCCTAACGCGGATGCTTTCAAGACAAGTGGGTTTCTACTCCAAGCCCACTAGTTCCAATCACCCACCCTTCTCCAATACACCCTGCTGGGCCATGTCTTCACCAACTTTAGGTTGGAGAGGAGAAATGAGGCCGAATTTTCTACCCTGTGTGCTTATTCCTGCCCTTGAGGGAGAGCCAGGGGTCCCTGGGCCCGTGTCGTCTGCTGGTTTGGGGATCTGCCCCCCTTCCCACCCTGGGACCTCTTTTGCCCCAGGTCCAACTGCTCACCAGGGAGTTGGGAGGCGGAGGCGGCTTGGAGACGTATCTGTAGCTCAGGTAACAGAGCCCCGCGACGACGAAGCCCATGGAGAAGAGGATGGCGCCCGAGAAGGAGTATGTCCACGTCCGATCTGGGGGAGCACAGGGGCCAGAGCAGGGAGACTGAGGCCAGGGACCGGTCTGGGCCCGGTCCTGTGTGGTTGCTGCGGGCTGGGTGCTTCTCCTCCCTGCCCTCTCTGGCCAGGCTTGGGAAGTCCTCTCCTGCCCCCAGGGTGTGCCGGGCTGGGTCAGGAGCACGAGGAGAGGGCTGCGTACTAGATGTCTAAATATCCAGAATTTATAAATCGTATTCGTATACTCAGTAACATATGTGTATTCTCCTGCCCTGACAAATACACTTTTGATCACAACCTAGAAGGCCAGGTTTGAGTTTTGAATTCTTGGACTCCTTGGGGTCCTGTGCTGAACTGTGGAGGGACAGGGAGAGCCTGCCATGGTCCCCTGGCCCACCTCGGCCCCATCCCTTCCTGCCAGGGGTCTCGTGCACGTGGATGTGGACTCCTCTGCCCACATGGCCAAGTTCATCCATTCCCCTCAATACGGAGCTGCCTGTTGGCCGCCCTTTGGGCTGAGGTTCTGCACATTAACAGAGGATCTCCTCCCTGGAGGAGGGATGCAAGGAACAGATCCGTTAGACTGGACACAGGCTCAAGGCATTTGTTCAGGGAATCTCGGGGTTCCAGGAACCCAGAGTGTGGCCTAGAAGGGAGGTCACAGGCTCTAGTGGGACCTGTGCATTTTGACCTTCAGACTCCTCTTCATCTTGTGGGGAAGGCCATGGCCAGAGCAAGGCCAGAGTGGATCTTTCTAAACAGGCCTCTTTTGCCTGGGTCTGAGGTCAGCACGGCCTCCCTGCAGGGGGCTCTGGGCAGAGGCAGAGCCCCCTGCAGGGAGGCCATGGCAATGGGAGGGGCCTGCCCTCCTCGCCCCACTGTAGCGGTACAGGGTGGGGGGCGGGTGTTAGGGAAGACCTTGCTCTGGAGGGAGCCTGGGGCAGCACCACCCTTTCTCAAGGGGAAGCAGAAGGACGACTGAGGGCTTCAGTGTGGAGCCTTCTCCCTGTGGTCCCGCATCTTCGGGATGGCCACAGCCGGTTCTTGGTGTGACACACTTCCTGCCCCCATGGGACTGGTTGGGGGTGTGGGTTGAGGAAGCTATAGTTGGGTTTTTGTTAAAACTAGTGACTTGTGTTCTCCAGGGGTTTGGACTCTCCAGGCCACCCTCCTTTCATTCCTTCTGGTGGCTTCAGCGTGGGGTGCTGGTCACCAGCTGCCAGTGACCTTGGCAATCGCTGTGAACCCTGGGAATCGCTGGAGCTTCCACTTCCAGCTCCTTCCCAGCCCATGAGTCTTGGGCCTCCCTGGGTCAGCTTCCCACTTCAGTGACATCCTGTCCCCCATCACGTCATACTCCCGTTGCTACTCCAGGAAGAACACTCAGCCAGAAAGTCTCTATGTGACATGCCTAATGGTATGGGAAAACCAGTGCTCCTCTGGTGGGGTAGGACAGGGACTCGGACTACTTCCATGTGCCATTTCACACATGGGAAGGCAGGAAGAAGTAATGGAAACAGCTCTGGAGTGTGTGGTGTTAGAGATCTGGTTCAGCCACCATAGGCTGAGAAGCCTTCTCTCTGCTGCACGACCCTCTCTGGTCTACTCTGTATTAAAAAGAGTGCCAGTAGTTATGGAGCTCTTAACTGTTTGCACTGTGTGGTGTGCTTTACCTATGATATCCCACCAAACAGAGAGGGCCAGAGATGCTCTCTTCTTAGGGATGATGAAGCTGAGTGTCAGAGAGGCTGAGTGACTTGACCAAGGTCACACAGCTACTCATGGGAACCAGGCTTGTCATGTATACCTACAAAGCTCTCCTCACAGGCACCGCACAAGGATGCCTTAGTTGCCTAATCTGTAAGAACAGGATATGGGGTGAGAGTCCTTTCCAGTTTCAAGATACTGGGATGTTACTCCATGACATGTCTAGGAGTAGACAGACATCCCAAGAGGGAAAGTGGGAATTCTGGACTCCAGGCATAAGAACAGACCACAGGCTATGGAGTCAAGGGCAGGATATATCACTTTGAAGTGGAAATAAGAGGAATAAATGTGCAGTAGAGAGGTCTAGCTGTGAACAAAATTGCAAGGTGCGGTTTCAAGATCAGATGAACTAACTGGGTTCACTGACCAGCTGTGTGGTTACTGTTGAGCCTTTCAGCCTCTCTGAGTCAGAGTTCCTCCTCTTGGGGATGAAGCTACCCCACCTACAGGGTTCTGATAAAAATTCAATGGGACAATATATGTGGAACATTTAACAGTGTCTGGCAATGGAGTGGGTACTTAATAAATGGTAGGAACTGTTATTCACATACTTTATTTTTAAGGATGATGTGTCTTCTCTACGTCAGCAAGAACTAGCCAATAAGAAATGTGATTTATATGAAAGCAGCTACGGTCTTAGGGGGAAAAAAAGTATCACATCAAGAGCTAGATCACGTAAGAACAAAAGGATAAGCGTGGAGTGGTCTTCATGTTGTCAGAAAGCAGGGTTGGGGGACAGGCGGGGTCAGGAATGGGCAAGATTTTTCTGGTTCCTCCAGGGGAGAGGGTCCCAAATCATATACAGGCTCCCAGCGTGGTGCCTGCAAAGTCAGTTTCCTTTTTCAGTTCTGCTCTTGCCAATTTCTATTCTGGTCTCCCCGGTGGAGCTTTCCCCAGGAAGGGCATGCCTCGTGCAAGCGGCCAGTGCTGGCTGCTCTACCCGGTACCTCTTCCCCTGAAAATTCATGTACTGGACTTGGCTGGAGAAGTCAGTCTCTTGTGAGCTCTTGGGGCGACTGGTGAGTTGAGTTTCTGAACAATACCAGGGACCAGAACCTATGCGATGACGATTCTACCAAGCAGCACTTGACCCTAGGACTCTGCCTCTAGCAGGCACCCCGTCTCTGTTCATCAAAACTGAAATTGCCTACTGACATCATTACTCTGAAGCTGATGACTAAGGAGGAGACTCTTTTTTCCAAATCCACCGGACCCACTACTATCACTTTCATCTTCTAAACTTGTAGCTCTGAGCATTACAACATTTCTATCTCTGTGAACATGAACGCTAATAAAAATATCATATGCTGCTTAACGATGAGAGTCGAGTTTCAGTGTGCTAGAGGAAGGGAGCATGGGGCACCATCTCCCTGAGCCGATGACTCAAAACGATTTCGATGGTAGTGCCCTGGTGCTCCTGAATTCAGCCTAGTCCTATCCTTCGCCACCTGCATGTCCTTGGGCAAGTTACTTAACCACTCTGAACCTCGGCTCCCTCAGTAAAACAAAGCAATAATCACAGACGTCTTGTAGCTGGTTCATGAGGATTGCACTTAGTGGTGCCTGGTCCCTGGTTGCAGAAATGTTAGTTCTCGGGGTGCCTGGGTGGCTCAGTCAGTTAAGTGCCTGCCTTAGGCTCGGGTCGTGATCTTGGGGTCCTGGGATCAAGCTCCACGTTGGGCTCTCTGCTAGGTGGGGAATCTGCTTCTCCTTCTCCTTCTGTGCTTTCTCCCCCCCTCTCTCTTTCTCAAATAAATGAATAAAATCTTAAAAAAAAAAAAAGAAATGCTAGTTCTCATCACTATCATCACTGTTACTACTCTTTGACTTTGGAAGATATTGAGGGAACTTTTCTCTGCTTTCCCTTCTGCATATTATTTCCTAGGATATCTCACCTGGATTAATATTAAGCAAATTTGCTTTGCCAGGGTACACAGAAAGCTGGCCAGGGACAGGAAACCCAGTGGGCTGGAGGGCGGGGATTAAACGTGTTTAATGATAACCCATCAGCTAACTCAGTGATGGATTAACGAAGACTGAATTTGGTAACACAGTAATAATCCTGCAGTTGTGTGAGCACTGCCAAACCACACCTGGGTTACAGGGAAAGAGAGCACAGGGCAGACATTCGAATTCAGGAGTCCTGCCTCCCTCTGGTTTCCGCTGAACTTACCTGGCAGTGTCTTCACTCGGCACACGTAGGGGGCGCTCTCTTTGGACCAGTTTGGAACAAAAATCATGGTGGTCCCAAGGAACTCTGTGTCAGGGGTCAGGCCAGTGAACTCGTAGTCTCTCTGCTTCCCTCCAAGGTGCTGAATTAGACAGAGAACCCAGAGTGACTCCTCCTAGTCATCAGTCTCCACTTGGAGCCCAAGTCAGCCTGCGCACACGTCTGCCTGGGTCGCTGTGCTCAATACAATGGTGCCACCAGCTACCCAAACCAAAAACTGGTGGGTCAGTCCATAATGCTCTGTTCTTATTTCCCTACCTTCTGCGCCATTACCATCACCATCATCACCATAGCTACCACCATCACCATAACTATCACCATCACCATAACTATCACCATCACCACCAACATCATCATTATCCCTCCTTCTTCTAGCTCTTCTCCTCCTCCTCCTTCTTTATCAAACATCAAAAAACCCTGACTATCCATCCCTCTCTTGCCTTCCTCATTGCTTCTGCCTTAACTGGGCCTCACCATCTTGAGTCTGGACTCTGGCAGTGGCTTCCTCACTGGTCACCTGTCTCTGGTTTTGCCCCCGTCGACCTCTATATTCATCCTAGTGCCAAAGGGATATTTCTAAAAGAATATTATCATTCCAATGCTAATTCCAATGTTCCCCTATTTAAATCTTTTGATGGCTTGGCCCATATCATGAGATAAAACCCCGGTCCCTGTCTCCCTGTCCACTTCTCTCTCTCTATGGCCCACCTGGCTTATGGGCTCCACCAATGCTGACCACCCATTGTTCCTGCTGCATCTTGCCCGTTGAAGAGCCCTTGCTCCTTTGCAGTTGCTCCTTCTGCTGGAACTGTTTTTTTTTGTTTGTTTGTTTGTTTGTTTTTGTTTTTTTAACTCTCGCTTTCTGGTGTGTCTCTAACCTCTTGACCTTGAAATCCTCCTTTGGCTGCCTTGTTCCATCATTCTGGTACTCATCCTACTTCTCTCTTCGGTCTCAGCGCCTCAATTCTGTTGTTCTGCAAGATTTACTCTTCATCCAGTTTTTTCTCTCTCCACTTATTCTCTCACCGAGTGATCTTATCTGGCCCCATGGCTCCTGAGATCACCAATGTGTAGAAAACTCCAAACTTAGCAAGAGCTGTCAGGTTGGACGTGCACTTTGAGCTCACTGCTGGATGGCACCCTGCGGGCATGTCTAACTCAGCATGTCCAAACGCGCTGATGTCTTCTAGAAGTCTGGGTCCCGCCCCCTCCCAAACCTCAAACCTGCACCTGTGTGTGATTCCCTAGCTCTATTCATAGCATCTATCTTGTTCCAGTATTCAAGGCCCAGAACTTGAAGCCATTTCTGGCAAAGCCCCCTTCACATCTCTTCTATCTAATTGGCCTTAAGTGACCCATAAACCTTCCTTTAAAGGGCCAGGAGTTGTGCTCTTAGATGTTCAAAAACTAAGAATTTTCTTCTTTGGTTTTTTGCATTTCAGGTACATCTTCACCTTTCTGGGCACATGGAAACCAGGGTTTAGGGTTATTTTTATTTTTATTTTTCAAGGGTGGTGTGAGTGGGTGAAGTACAGAAATAGATTTCATGACTTATTGTTTTGTGTCACTCATATGGTTGAAAGGGCACACATTAAAGATCGTGTGACACAATCCAGCAGAGTTGCTATGGCCCAAAATTCCTCCTTTCCCAGATGTTGTACTGCCTCTGGCCTGCTTCAGGCCCAGTCATTTCCAGCCCCTACTATTGCAGTGGGCCCTAACTTTCTACCCTGATCTCTCTTTCATTTTCACATTTGATCTCTCTTCTTTCTGCTCCCAGTAATTTACAGCTTCTTTGGATCAACCCTCCCTAAAGCAACAACTATAAACTCTGGCCCAAATAAAAACCCATCTGTCAGCACTGGAGAATAAGCAGAAGCAGGCAGATATTGGAGAAAGGAGGCAGGGAAAGTCATTGGGTGAATTTCTCGTCTTTTATGTTGAAAGCAGGCCTTCACCTTGTGGGAAGGTTTAAACCTAAATAGAAACCTTGTAATCGGACTGGTTTGAAAAATAAGAAGACAGAGTTCTGGGCAATCCTAACAGCTAGAAAGTGAGGTGAGAGACCGTAGATAGGAGAGATCCACAGAGAGGGACGCCCAAGTTCTGATTATAAAATTGGCCCAGATCCCAGCTTGGCTCTTAAAGCAAGTAGGGTAAACTCCAAGAAGCCCAGGTAAAGGTGAAAGAATGGGACTGAGATTTTGGAATTTGAAGTTCAGCCAAATTATCTACCTGCTAAAACAAAACAAAACGAAACAAATCAATAATCTTCAGAGGAATAGAACAGAATCCAGAGTCCCTCAACTATACCATTCACAACATCCAGGCTACATTCCAAAATCATTAGACATGCAAAGTAAGAGAAAATATAATCCACATTCAGGAGAGAAGACAATTAATGGTGACCTACACCAAGATGACCAAGTACTGGAATTAGCAGACAATGATTTTCTCTCTCTCTCTTTTTAAGGTTTTATTTATTTATTTATTTACTGGAGAGAAAACGAGATTGAGAAAGCGTAAGTACGGGCAGGGATAGAGGGAAGGGCAGAGGGAGAGGGAGCAGGGAGCCTGATGAGGGGGCTTGATCCCAGGACCCTGAGATCATGACCTGAGACAAAAGCAGATGCTTAACTGCTTAACTGACTGAGCCACCCAGGCACTCCCAGACAATGATATCCTACCAGCTAGTATAAATATATAAATATATAAATATAAATATAAATATATACTAGTATAGTATACTAGTAGTAGTATAAATATAGTATATATAATATATGGTATATATAGTATAGTATATAGTATATATAGTATAGTATAATATACTAGTAGTATAAATATAGTATATAGTATATATGGTATAAATATAGTATATATAGTATATATATAGTATATATAGCATATATAGTATATATAGTATATATATAGTATATATAGCATATATAGTATATATAGTATATATAGCACATGTATAGTTCATAGTATATATATAGTATAGTACATAGTATATATAGTATAGTATACTAGTAGTAGTATATAGTATATAGTATCTATAGTATATAGTAGTAGTATATAGTATATGTATAGTATATAGTATATATAGTAGTATAGTATACTAGTAATAGTATAAATAGTAATAAATATGCTCAAGGAAGTGAAGGAAAATGTGCTTAGGAAGGAAAATGACTAGGAAATCTCACTAGGATGTAGAAACCATGAAAATTGGGAATGTTAGAACTGAAAAATATAATATCTAAATAAAAATCTCACTTGGTCTTTTTTTTAAGATTTTTTTTTAACTTATTTATTTGACAGAGAGAGACACAGCAAGAGAGGGAACACAAGCAGGGGGAGTGGGAGAGGGAGAAGCAGGCCCCCTGCTGAGCAGGGAGCCCAACGTGGGGCTCGATCCCAGGACCCTGGGATCATAACCTGAGCCAAAGGCAGACGCTCAACCACTGAGCCACCCAGGTGCCCCTGAATGGTCTTAATAACAGATTGGAGTTGAGAGAAGAGTCAGAGCACTTGAAAACAGTTTAATAGCATAAGAAGAATTAGCAGTGATGGTCACACCATGGAGCTGTGCACTTTCAAAGGGAGGATTTTGTGGCATGTGAGTTATATCTCGAATAAAAAAGGGCAGGGATGTCAGAATGCTGTCTTCAAGAGATGCATTTTATTTTATTTTATTTATTTATTTTTTTAAATATTCCATTTATTTATTTGACCGACAGAGATCGCAAGTAGACAGAGAGGCAGGCAGAGAGAGAGGAGGAAGCAGGCTCCCCGCTGAGCAGAGAGCCCGATGCGGGACTCGATCCCAGGACCCTGGGATCATGACCCGAGCCGAAGGCAGAGGCTTTAACCCACTGAGCCACCCAGGTGCCCCAAGAGATGCATTTTAAATATAAGACACAGTTAGAGCGACAATACAGGGAGGAAAAAAGATATGGCCAGCAGGGGTGCCTGGGTGGCTCAGTGGGTTAAGCGTTTGCCTTTGGCTCAGGTCATGATCTCAGGGTCCTGGGATCGAGCCCCACGCCAGGCTCCCTGCTCTGCAGGAAGCCTGCTTCTCCCTCATCTTCTGTCCTCCCCCACTGCTTGTGCGCTCTCTCTCTCTCAAATAAATAAATAAATAAATAGAATTAAAAAAAAAAAAGACACACCAGGCAGATTGTGAGTGTGAGAGGCTGGAGTGGCTCTATGAATCACAGGTATTCATATAACAAGTGGACTTCACTACAAAGAATAGCACTAGAGGGAAAAAAAGGACATTTCGTAACGATAAAAGGGTCGATTTATCAGGAGGCTGTAACAATCAGAAACGTGCATGTGTTCAAGAACAGTGTTTCAAAAGGCATGAAGCAAATCTGCACAGAATTAGGAGGAAAAGAGACCAATCCACAGTGCTAGCTGGAGATTTTTAACTCTCAGCAATGAAAGGAACGATAGATCTTCTCCAAATCAGGAAAGACACAGAAGACCCGAGTCACACGATTAGCCACCTTTATGGAACGGATATTTACAGAGTGCTCTGCCAGACAATTGCAAGACACACATTCTTTCCAGGTGCACGTGAAACGCTCACTAAATGGGCCAGATGCTGCGCCATAAAGAAGAGCTGCAAACAAGCAAAGTGTGTTCTCTGACCACAAACTGAATTAAGTTGTCAGTAAGATATTCACTGCAGCCCAAATATTTACTAATAGGTAGTGTGATAAGGTCTTGTCTTGCTCAGTAATCTCTAGTTGCTCCCCTGACTACTGCCATGGATAGAACTTCCTCTACCACCCCAGACCTCTACCTCCCAGCCTGTCCGGCCAGGCTTACCTCCCTTGCCTCCTCTACACCAGGTCTCCAGCATCAGGGTGGGTAAGAAGCACTCCAGCTGCCAGCTAAAAACTCAGACCCTAGAGGTGCTGTTGCAGAATTGCATTGAGTAGACTAGAGGAAGGCCCAGGCCCCTGCATTTTAAATAAATATTGCTGGAGATTCTGATGCCATTTGGGGCCAGGTTTTGAGAAACTGGTCTGCATGTCTCCATGCTCCAGCCAGGCTGGGCAGTTTTGTGCTTTCCAGGAAGCTTTTAAGTTTTCCTGCTTCTCTCTCTCCGATCATGGTGGGGCAGTCTAGGGCAGGGAGGGGAAAATGTGGGCTGTGGACCGTGCTGGATCTGAATTTTGACCAAGCTATCATTTGCTGACCAATCTTGAGCAAGTGCCTTAACCTCTCTGAGCCTCTGCTGTCTCATTCAGAAGATGGAGAAGGTAGCCCCTACCTCATAGGGTTGTGGTGAGGGATAAATGATAGAGTACGCATGTATTATTGACTGCCTCAAAAGTTGGTATTGGCACTAGAAAGTTCTTCTGGAAGTTTTTCCAGAACCTTTGGGCTGCCATCTCCCCTCCCACCCATCTCCCCTCCCACCTCCCTGCCCCTGCTCCACTGCACACAAATCTTTATTTTCCTCTATCTATAGCTATTTAAAGTCTTATTTAACTCCTTTCCCATCTACTAGATTCTAAACCTCTTGGGAATAGTCATTCAATGGAATTATGGACCCTGGCGCATGCTAAGGAGAAAATACATGTGTTCTGGATACAAAAGAAATACCTCATCTATTATTTGACCATTTATGCCCCTGCCTTCCAACTTTCATTGTTGGTGATCTTAAGACCCTGCCGTATCCAGTTCCTGCCAATGGAGGAGAACCAGCAAAAAGAACTGCAACAGTAGACATAGATTTCAGCATTTTCCAAAGTGGACATCTGAAGATGTGAGTAGAGGTTGCTCTCCAGAATATTATAAGGCATTAGGCAAAAAAAAAAAAAAAAAAGTTAAAAAATTATGCAAAATAAAAGGAGTTTCTCTGGTCAAGAAATTTGAGAGAAGTCATATTCAATGAAATGACACTGGAGTCTTGGCTTTGCAGGACTTGTCAGAGACTTTAGCAGGATCTTGCCTGTGTGATCTACAAGAGAGAGGGCTGTGTTTTGGAACATTTGGAAAATGTTAATTTATATAAAACATCTCCTTTCTACTTGAAGCCATGAAGATGACGGAGAAATGAGCTCCCAGGGAGGGATGGACCAGAGACACATATATATTTACCATTTGGTAGGTGTGGTTGACTTGGAGCTCTAAACGGTAGAACAGATCAGGGAAGATGTCCTCCAGGGTGAGCCGGTGGCCATCCCCTGCTTGGACAGGTGTGGAGGTGGGATGGATGACCATCTGGATGGATCTCACCTTGGGGATACAGGTCACATCGGGTGGCTTGATGGTAGCTGGAAAAGGGAGAGAGAAAAACAAAAAGAAAAGGCTAGAATTAGCCAGGAGTTTCTGAGGTTGCCCTGGACCAGGGGACATGACTGACTGCCTCCCCTCTCCTCCCACCCCAACCCCAGCTATGCTTCTGAAAATAGCAACTAGACAAATAGGTGAGAAGAGTAAAGTGCTTCTAGCAACCGGTGTTTGGGTTTAAGGCTGGCAAAAGGGTGACCAGAGGTGAATGGGCAGAACCCAGGGAGAGAGGCACTGGCCTCCTAGATTAGCCATGCCCCTGTCCCTGCCTCCACAATCCCTACCTTGAGTCCGCCCAGAGCACCCTTTCCCTTGGTTTATTGGCAATGATAGCTTTGGGGACTGACGGTTCAGTAGCATAAACTAAGTAATGTTCGGGGCACCCCAAATTATTGATTTGGCCTCAAAGGCCAGGCCTGAGACTTCAATCTCTCTCAAAACGTGATCTTCCAAATAACCAAATAATCTTTACTGGTTTATAGACCCTCTTAGGAATTTGATGAATGATATGGGTCTTCTCTTCCCCAAAATGTACCTATACAAAAATTTGACTTGATTTTGGGGATTCATGAGCCGTTATTCCCCATGAAGCGAATTTATAAAATTCCCTCAAGGGCCCATTGATCTCCGAGATGGATGATATAGGAGCTAGAAGGATGTTCACTTCAGTTTTGTTTACAAAATTGAAAAACTGAGTTAAAGTCCTCAAAAAGGGAATTGGGGACATAAATTAAGATAATCTCCACAGAACAGATCATTTTGCAGCCGTGAAATGTCAGGTTGCAGAAAAGTGCCTAACGACGTGGACAAATGTTCCTGAGGGGCGTTGTATGAAAACCCCCCAACCAACCAGGTCACAAAAGAGTAGAGACTGTTGCTAGCAGCTATGGTGATGTTTTAGTGTTCATGTTATTTTAGGCTTCTTTCTTTTTTCTTTGTGCATTTCTATATTTTCCAGATTTTCTACGACAAATATGTGTTAATTGAATAAGCCAAGAAAAAAAAATAACTTGTTTAATTTTCTTTTTTCTTTTCTTGGAAAGCCACCTGGCTGTGAAGTCCCTTAGTGAACACCACCGCCTGCTCAATTTGCATGGGGAGTTTGGTGACTCATATTCATTCATTCATCAGTTATGTTGTGGGCCCTGCTCCATGCCAGACCCTACGAGAAGGACCGAGAACGTGGGATTCCACTGCCTCAGAGGCAGGTGGGATACAGGCAGGCAGATGCCATCTCTGCAGATGGGGATGGGAGCTATGAAGACAATGTACAGCTGACCGTGACAGAGAGTAGCAGGTGGTGACATAGTGAAATGAGGTTGTTGGGGCTGAGAGTGGGGACACCTACTTAGGAGGTGATGTGGAAGCCTGGACCAAGACTAAGGATTAGAAGAGTCAGGGCCAGAGTAGGGCACTGAGTTAGGAGCCCTTGGCTGGAGTCCAGAGGCCAGAGGAAGGTGATCTGACCTTGGGAGGCCAGGATGGAGCTGGAGAAAGACCGCTGGCTGTGCACAGATGCTCTCTAGTTGGGACGACCTTCCCTAAAAGCCACATCTTGAACTGTCCCCTGCCCTTCGGGGCCTCCCCCCGCCCCTCCCATGCAGTGAGGGGTGCCCACTCACTCTGTTGCAGCGAGGTGAACCGGTCGGTCATCTTGGTGACTGACCGGCCTCCCGCGCTGATGGCAGTTACCCGGGCGTAGTAGGGCTCCATGAAGTTGCCCGTTTCCATGGTCAGGTTGCAGGATTTCCGGGTGATCCGCTGGCAGCCCTCCTTCACCAGCCACTTTCTCTCCCCATACCTGTAGGCACGGGAGGGGCCGGAGCACACCTTGAATGATTGGACCTGGCACCAGGCCTGCGGTTTATTAATAATGATAATGACATCTAATATTTACTTAGCACATTCTGTGTCCCAGGCCCCTTCTGTGACTGATCTGTTAGTCCTCACAATGATCCCGTGAGGTTCAGACATGGTTCTCCCTCCTTTTCGAATAAGGACGCTGAGGTTTAAAGAGGTAAAATTGGGACCGGTGTGGATTTGAACCCAGCCAGTCTGAATTCACATTCTGGGCTCATCATTACCATAAGCCTTTGAAGCAGGCACTATTATCCCCGTTTTATGGATGAGGGAACTGAGGCTGGGAAGTGACTTGCCACAGGACAAAATGGCAGGATCAGCGATGGAACCCAGGTTTGCAGACCCCTAAGCCCATGCCAACTTCCTCCTCTGTGTAGGAAGAGGGGCATGGGCTTGAGGGGGTGGACACGACTCTTTGTTGACCTAGTCTCCCGGATAACAACAAAACAATTTCGTTACCTGCCAGGCACAAGCCCTCATGCCTATCTTGTTTAATCTACCTGACGATCCTATGATGGAGGTCCTCTTGCTAGGCTTACTTTATGGGTGGGGAAACTGAGGCTTGGCGAGATTATCGCATTGCCCCAGGTTATAAAGGCCAGAGAGCTGGCAGGTAAGCCTGGGCAGTCTGACTCCAGAACCTGTCCTTTTAACCATTATTTTATCCTCCCTTTGCAAAAGAAACCACAAAGGAGCAAAGGTCCTGGCAGGGTCTGGTTCAGGCTGTGTCCCATCATTCCGGGGGTGGTGGGGGTAGGGAGAAGGAAAACATAGGGCAGAGGGGGATTTTCTTGGAATGGTTGGCTTCAGAGCAGAATCCGAAGAGGTTGTGTGGAGAGGGAAGCCTACGTTTTATACTCCACGCTGTAGACCAAGTCTGGGGCGCTCTCCAGCCCGCTGTCCCACGTCAGGATGTTTTCGAAGTTGCTGGACTGGAATTTTACGTGCTGAAGAAGATCTGAGGTGTTCTCAGCAGTGTGAGCTGTGGGAAGTGGGAGCAAGGTGAGCAGACGGGCACAAGGATCCTGCCCCCAGCCCTCCAGCAAGCCCTCCGATGAGGAGGGTGGGACCGGCACCCACCAGGGACTCTGGGGCTGACCATCTCTGTCCTCCTTTGCTTCTTTTTAAAATTTTTATTGAGCTATAATTCGCAGCCCATAAAATTCACCATTTTAAAGCTTGCATTTCAGGGGTTTCTGAATATATTCACGAAGCTGTGAAACCATTACCGCTATCTAATTCCAGACCATTGTCATCACCCTAAAAAGGACCCCTGTGTCCATTAGGAGTCCGTCTCTCTTCCTTCCCTCCCCCCAGCCTGAAAGCAACCACTAAGCTGCTTTCTAGGTCTACGGATCTTCCTATTCTGGACTTTTCAGATGATTCATATGAAAAGTGTCTTTTGTGTCTGGTTCCTTTCACTTAGCACAATGTTTTGGAGATTTCTTCATGTAGCGTGTGTCAGCCCTTACTTCCTTTTCATGGCTGAATAGTACCCTGCTGTGTGGCTATTCTGCAATTTGTTTATCCGTTCATCAGTTGAAGGACACTGGGGCTGTTTCTACTTTTTCGGCTATTATGAACAATGCTGTGGTGAATGTTCGTGTGCAAGTTTTTAAGTGGCCCTATGTTTTCCCAGGTGTAGAGCTCAGAGTGGAACTCCCGGGTCGGATGGTAATTCTGTCTGACTCTGTGAAGAACTGCCCAGAGCTTCACACTCTTTTCCAGAGCGGCTGCAGCCCCTGTGTCCCCCTGTGTCCCCGCCGGCCTCGTGTGAACGCTGCGTCTACTCCACACCCCTGACCACACTTGGGGTTGTCTGTCCTTCCCTTCTGAGCACACCTGAGGCGGGCGCCCTCACCCACGGGATACTGGAAAGACACTCAACTACACATTGACCCTTCAATGAAACACCAAAGAATGACTTTCTCCGAGTCAGTAATTCCAAGCAAGGCTGGAGAGGACGTTTGTGAGCTCCTGCCTCTCTGTGGGCTGAACCAGTCCCTGCCCATCCTGCCCAGGGAGGAAGGCAGAGCACAGACTTCACCTGGGGAGGGGGGCTGGCGAGCCACAAGGGAGGGGCCACTGCCCATGAAGCGATCTTGAACTATAAATGGGAGACTTCACTTATGAAACTATTCTCTCAGCCTTCCCCGCGTGGTCTGTGGAAAGGAAGAGGGGTTGCAGGAAAATGGCGGCCAGAGCCGGCAGTTGGCTCTGAGCATGCTCAGAAGGGCCTGGCTGGCTGGGGTGGGAAATAAGCAGGTGCAGACCTGGTTGGGTCTCCAGTTGCGTCAAGGCCTTGGGGCCTTGAGTGCATATGTGTCTTTGATGTGTGTGTGCCTCGCTCCACCCCGGACATAGTCATGACCACCAACAGGGCCAAGGTGTAAGGGAGCGGATCATTATTTACTCCCCACTCCAAGCCTACATACAATATCTCGCAAGAGGTGTCCATGGGCTTAGGAGGCCCCTGGGGATGGGGAAGAGTGTTTGGACAGCCCAACCCTGCTGTGTATCCACTGGTTAAATCTAAGGCCACATTCCTCTTTGAATCTGAGCTGGTCAGCCCCAACAGCTATAGAAACCTTTGTGTTTAAGGCTTCCTGGAACTCCTAGAACAGGGCCTAGGGACATGGGGAGGACATGTCTTACTGCCTCTAGCCAAAGTGATGGCTATGCTACTGAGCCCTGAAGTGTGGCTGACTTCTTGTTTGGTTTTGAGTCTGGGCAGAATTGGGGTCTGTTCTGGATTCAGGGCTCAGTCTTAAGATGAGGGAGAGAGTCCACCTGAGGTCAGAACTGAATGGTGGCTTCCAGTGGGGTTGATAAAGTTAGGGCAGGAGAGAGGGAGGGTGGGATTTGAGAGAAGGCTAGGGTCTCTCTGGGGTTGGGCTTAACTACCGCTAAGTGGTGGGGTAGGGGCAGCACTGGGAAGGTTGCTGGTTGGGGTCAGTATCCTGGCAGGCTAGTTGTGGTGGGGGAGCCTGGTGGCTGGGGCTGGGACATGCTCAGGAGGTAAGGGGCCCAGGCTGGAAGAGGTTGGCATCATTTTCCAAGAGGGAACTGAAGTTGGCTTCCAGAAATGGAGTAGGTGAACCTTGGCTGGACTCTTCTTTAGGGGGGCATTGAGGGCTAACAAGATCTCTCCCTTGGGGCACATGGGTGGCTCAGTTGGTTAAGCATCTGGCTCCTGATTTCGGCTCAGTTCATGATCTCGGTGTCCTGGGATCAAGCCCTGCGTCGGGTTCTGCGCTCAGTGCAGAATCCGATTCGGAATCTCTTTCTCCCTCTGTCCCCCTGCCCCCTGAGCTTAAGCGTTCTCTCTCTAAGAAATAAATAAATTCTTCAAAAAAAAAAAAAAAAAAGAGATTTCTCCCTCTCCTGCCCTGCCCATTCTCCCCCTGCCCCAAGCTATAATGTATTCCTCAGCCTGCGTTGTTTCCGTACTTCCTGGGTGAAAGTCTACATTGTGAAATCCTTAGGGACACATGTGTTGTTTAGAAACTGACAGACTGGTAGCTTCTATGAAAGGAAGTTTCCACATTCATTTGGAAAAACAATTTTATGCCAACAAGTTAGGAAGATAAGGAAAAACAAACAAAAATAATCCAAAATATTCTCTAATCAGCCTGAGAATGCCAGGGCAGTGGAGATCTGGTGCCCCAAGAACCTTCTTGTCTTGTAACAACTCCTAAGGTTGCTGCCCCTTGGTCCCCATCCACAAGGATCCAGAGCCTCTAAGATTTCCAACCAGAATGGAGTCTTTGGGGGAATACAGCGAGTCTTCCTCACTCATCAAGGGCCCAATGCATTGGGAATGCCAACGCTGGATGCCAGAGTTGAACAGACTTGAAGGACCCAGATAGCAGCGGGAAACACTGAGATCTCACCAGCTGACAGAAAGGACAGCAGCAGAGAGGGCTGGGAAGCTCCGGCCCTTATGGGCTTCATCCTGCCCTTGCGCTAGAAGGGGCCTTGCAAGGGCCATCTCTCCCCGCTCTTCAGTCCGGACAATACGTTCACTTCCTGAGAAAGTTCCCTGAATTTTATTAAACGTCTTAGGGAGCAGAGAGCCAATCTGGGATCTCATGTATCTATCTGAAAGTTCTCTACAATGTTAAATCAAGAAATCCATTTTATTGGATTTTAAAACTATGTGCTTTTGTCCCGTTTTCAAAAGGGCCCTGATGTTTTTAAGATCTTTTAATGTAGCAGACCTGGCCCTTCTGGGAGAAAATGTTCTTTTACTTTATTTCTTAAAAATTTTTATTTCCATTCGATTTAATTAACATATACTGTATTATTAATTTCAGAGGCAGAATTTAGTGATTCATCAGCTGCATATAATACCCAGTGCTCATTACTTCAAGTGCCCTCATTTATGCCCATCCCCCCAGTTACCCCATCCCCCACTCACCTTCCCGCCAGCAACCCTCAGTTTGTTTCCTAGAGTTAATGCTCTTTTATTTATTTATTTATTTTAAAGATTTTTATTTATGTATTTGAGAGAGCAAAAGCGAGCACAAGTGGAGGAAGAGGCAAAGGGAGAAGCAGACTCCCTGCTGAGTGGAGAGCCTGACATGGGGCTCAATTCCAGGACCCTGTAATCATGACCTGAGCTGAAGGCAGACGCTTAACCGACTGAGCCACCCAGGTGCCCCAGTTAATGCTCTTTTAAATCTAGTGTTAGGGGTCAGAAGAGGCCCCCACGGGTGGTGGAGAGAAACAAAGGGCGCCGTCAAGTTTTGCCCATCTGTCCTTCTCCCCCCTGCCCTTTTTGGGCCAGTGCCGACCAGAAGCGGAAGAAGGGATGCTATAACTCTCAGAATTATTCCAGGGGTCCAAGGATGTCTGCCTCCCTCAAGCCTATTCTCCATCCACCGAGGTGAGGGCTTCCGGCACCCCAGTTCTGACAGTTGGCTGCCTCCCCAAGTCTTGAGGTTAGTGGAGTCTCTGGAAGAAGCCAGATCTGAGGGACCCACTCATCCTCCCCAATACCTTGAGGTGTTCCTCAGTTCTCCGGGGAAGCTTGTCCCCCAGGGAAGCACTGGTGGAGAAACTGAAACTGGCCATCTGGAGCTGCGCGCGCGCGCGTGCGCGTGTGTGCGTGTGTGCGTGTGTGTGTGTGTGTGTGTGTGTGTGTGTGTGTGTGGGTGTGTGGAACCCTGGTTAACCGTGCTGGGTGTTGGGGGAGTTCAGACCACAGGGCAGTGGGCACTCACCGGCCAGGGATCCCGCGGCCAGGATGGTCAGTAGCGTCCTCATGGGGCCGGGCTCAGAGCCCTCTTTTGGCCTTGGCTCTGGGCTGAGGCCAGATGGAGGGCTGGGAAGCTTTGCCGCCTCAGAGGCACTGGGCTCCACCTGGCCACGCCACAGGGGCGGGGAAAGGAGGGGGAGGTGGGGCCTGAGCAGCGGGAGCGAGGTGCAAAGGTGTCCGGTCTGTGTGCTTCGGAATTCCAAGTCCTGGGCAGGATCCAAGGGAGTTCCCTTCCCACATGCAGAAGACAGTAACAGTGACAGGCCAGCTCGTTTATCTGGTCTGGTGACTGATTCCACCCAAGACTCTCCAGCGCTTTATCAGGAAGCTCAGAGGCAAAAAAAAAAAAAAAAAAAAAAAAAAGCAGCAAAAAATTGACGCTGTGTTTCAAAAACCTGCAAGATGCATGTGACTTTTGTCCCTGTGATTTTATTGTTAGGAATTTTTCCTGAGGACAATAACTGGAGCAGGCAAGGGCACAGAAAACACATTCCAGAATGTTCCTTGTTAGCAAAGGAAAAGCTGTGGCTGCCTGGCTTTGTTCTGGCAGGAGGAGATGGAGGATGTTTGCTGCTCCTCCTTGTGCCTCATAGCAAAGCAGTTTCCCCGTGTGGGATGATGGCCTAGGGCTTTTGGATGTGGTAGGCTGGAATATCCTTCAATCTGCATTTAAATTGTTCTTTTGTGTGTTGTAAATGTTTTCTTTCTATCAGCTTTGAGTCTTTGGTAAAGTGTGTTTGACGAAACAGCCAAATCTGAGCTGTGCTTTGGGGGAATGAAGGTAGGGCTTGTGGCAGTCATTTCCTATAATTTCAGAAAACGATAAGAATGTGGGAACATTCAGGCATCATTTCTAATAGTAAATAGGAAAAAAAAACAAAAGGAAGAGCCTCCATGTCAAACAATAGAGGGTTGGCTAAGTCCACCCAGTGCAAGATGAGTACAGTGTTGCATTTGAATAGCACTGGAGAAAATGTTAGGGGGCCAAAGATTCCCCATATTTTGTTAAATGAGAGGAAGCATGGCATACACTATGTACAGTACAAGCATGGTTAAAACACACATACACATTGGGGCGCCTGAGGGGCTCAGTCGGCTAAGCGTCTGCCTTCAGTTCGGATCATGATCCCCAGGTCCTGGGATTAAACCTTGCATCGGGCTCGCCACTCAGTGGGAAGTCAGCTTCTCCCTTTTCCTCTGATCCTACACAAACCCCACCTGTACTCTCTCATAGATAAATAAATAAATAAATGAATAATAAAGTCTTTAAAAACTACCCACATACACGCATAGAGAAAAAAATCTTAAATGTTAGGATTATAAAAGGAAAATATAAGTGCAATTATTTCTGGGAGGTGGATTAGTAGAACAATAGGTGGTTCTTACTTTCTTTCCATGGCAAGTTGCATTTTCTAAAGTTCCTCAAGGCAATATATGGTTTTATGTATTTAAAAAAAGCACGATTATTGAAAAAAAGGCATAAGGAAAGTGCTGTTCTCTAGACTGATCCAACCATCTGCAATTTCATTTTCTCTTTCTTTGAGAGACCATCTCTTCTTCAAATATATATGGGAAGAAAATCTTTCATGGAAGATGTTACTGACACTTCAGCTCAGCAAAGCTTGACCCTAAAGAACTTCTAGTGCTCTCAACCTGCACTTTGGGATGATCTAGTATTATTCTACAGGTGTACCAAGATTCAAAACAAAAAGGAAGACTCAAACTAAAAGAAAGCTTAGACATCAGCACCATCTTTGAAAAATCCTAACCCAAAATCTCAACCTTACCCCTAACGCCCAACCACTAATGGTAACCCCAACCCTAAAACCAACCCTAACCCTAAGCATAACCATAAAACTAACCCTAAACCTAACCCTAACACAGTTTAAAACTAAAAAGGACAGATTAAAAGATGGCAACATCTTTGAAAGAACCTAACCCTAACCCTAACCCTAACCCAGTTTAAAACTAAAAATGACAGACTCAAAGTTATGGCAAGCAGAGGCATTAGAAACATCATTGAAAAAAAACAAACCCTAACCAAGCCCTAACACTAACCCGAACTGTAAACCTTACGCTAACCCTCATTCCTGACACTAACCCTAACCTTAACACTAATCCTAACCATTAAACCCACCTCAAACCTATACTGAACCCCTAACCCTAAGTTGAACACTAATCCCAAGACATAACCTAACCCCAACCCTAACCCTAACCCTAACTCCTAAACTTAACCCCATCCTGAAATCTAACCCATAAACCTAACCACAAACCTAACACTAACCTCTAACACTAAACCTAACCCTAACCCAGTTTAAAATTAAAAAGGACAGACTCAAAGCAAGGGCAAGCAGAGACATCAGAAACACGTTCGGAAATACCTAATCCTAACACTAACCCTAACCCTCATCCTTAACACTAAAGCAAACCTCAACACTAGCCCTAACCATTAAACCCCAACACTATTGGGAACCCCAAAACAAACTCCAATGATAAAACTAACACCTAACCATAACCCAAACACTAACCCTAACCCCTAAACAAAACCCCAACCCAAAACCATACCCATAAAACTAACCCCAAACCTAACCCTGACCCCTAACAATAACTGAACCCTAACCCAGTTGAAAACTAAAAAGGACAGACTCAAAGAGAGGGCAAGCTGAGACGTCAGCACCATCTTTGAAAACTCCTAACCCTAATCCTCATTCCTAACACTAACCCTAACCTCAACACTAACCTTAACCCTTAAACCCAACCCCAACCTTATCTGGAAACCCTAACCCTAACCTAATCCTAACCCTCAACCCTAACCCTAACCCTTAACCCTAACCCTAACTGGTTGCATGAAGAGTCTAGCCCCCTTTTATGTAACTACCTCCAAACAGGAAAACCAGAGCAGCAGCGAGGGCACATAGAAGGGGGTAAATTCTTTTGATTAAAGAGATAGCGCTTAGTGTGGTAGTGTGGTTGACTTTACCATGGGCTTCTCTTGGTTGTTGGGACTATTCAGTGAATGGCTGTGACCACTGCTAGATGTTCCATAATAACTCCATTCTCTGGTCTTTAAAATGCAATGGTTCTTGTCTCCCTGGGAGGGAGAAAACATTCTGAGTGCAAAGAGCACCCCTTGTATTTCTCGGTACCCTATAGGTGGCTGAATATAGAGCAGTTTTCCAACACTGAATTGACTTGTACAGCAGCAGATTCGCCCTGCTCATTCTCTCTGTTTCAGATTGCCAGAAGAATGCATTTATTTGCTTTCTGATGAATTTCTCCAATGCACTTTGCATCATCCTGACTGTGAGCCTTTGTCCGAGCTGTACTGTTGCCTTCGAATCCCCTTTCCACCCCCCTTTCCCTACCTAATTCCTCTTTATTCTTCAAACCTCTTCTCAAACTCACTTCCTCCAGGAAGACGTCCTGGTGTGAGCCTCTCCCTAGGTTGGGTTAGGAGCCCCAGCTCTATGCTCCACTGGCTTCCTGACTCTCACCAATCACACATTGTGTTTGTGTTCCCCGTTGCTGACTTTGGGGACAAAAGGTGTAACTTGCTCTCCTTGATATCTCAGCATCTACCGTGAGCTGGCAGAAAGCAAGTGCCTGGTCATACTTGCTGAATGGATGACTATGCTGGGGGGAGTGGGCCAGTACTGGTGGTGGACACCTCTAAACTGTGGAAAAAGCACATCCTAAAATGACAAATACTCGGGAATGTGACTTGCTTCTGTCCCTTCCTTCAACACCCAGGGATGTCAGAACCTGTTTTGCAGAAGCAAGAACACCAGAGGGCAGTGGGGTGTGCGCTGGGGGAGGGGAGAGTGTCCCTGGTTGCTGACTCCGCAGGGAGAGAGCCTGCAAGGAGTCCCTGATGGTTCAAAGATGGAGAGAGCAAGGGACTAAGCCCTGGCAGCCCCAGGCCTCTTCTTAGAGAAGAGCCGGAGAATCAGACTCACTCTGGGGTGCCGCCCCAAGCCTGCACTGTGTCAATCAGGGATATTGACTAGTGTTCCAGGTCGGGAGCCTGGGTCTGCTCCCCAGCCTGCACCTGACTCCAGGTGACCTTGGTGGGTTTTGTTTCCTCTCTGGACCTCAGTTTCTTTGTTTGTAAAGGAGGCTGGGTCTAGAAATCCTCTAAGGGTCCTTGGAGTTTGAGTGGTCACTTTGGGATTGGAAACCTCCCCTGAGATCCCAGAATTCCCTTCATGGCCACTGTCAGTGACATAAACACAAATTCATCTCAGCCTTTATTGACTCCGCTTATCATTTCCGCTTGCTCTCAGGGTGAGGAATTCCTGAAGTTTATTACATGCTTAGAAGAACATGCTTCTTCATCAAAACATTAAGGAGATCTGTGTCTCATGCAAGAATTGGGTGTCCAGCTTCCTGTGTGCCCCGGGAGCCAGGAAGTGAATAGAACATGGACACATAGACCCGGGTTCGAATCCCCACTCTGCCACTGAACCTGAGGTGTGCAGGTAGCTTAATCTCTGACCCCCAGGTTTCTCATCTGCAAAAGGGAAGCGGAGGTCTTTTCTCTTCAGTGTTGTTGGGAGGACTGAACATGCCTGTGTCTCTGGACAGTCTCTGAGGAGGCGCTCTCACGGGAGTCTTCTGTTGCAAAATGAGGAACCAAAGACCAAGGGAGGGCCTTTAAAAACCTTTGCAAAAACCCGGACTCCTGGGCATCTGGGCACGGGGTTGGGGGGAGTGATAAATGTTCTCTTAGGAGTCTGAGTTTTCTGTAGTTTCTGAGGCCAAATTCCAAGGGATGGGAGAAGTGAGGGCATTGATCCTACAGATTAGGCATTGTGGCTGGAGTCAGGGGGCATTCCACGAGAGGGCCTGGAGCTCAGAGATAGGAATTGGGGTGCGGGGAGTCTGAGCCCCTAGTGGAATCTGGCTGCTGAGATGTCTCCGTAGCACCCAGAGAAGCCGAGGCTTTCTGTGGAGTGGGCTTTTCTTTTCCAGAATTGATAGGACTTGCCCTGGAGGTATCGGCCCCTGGACAGGGGCCTCCCACCACCTGCTGGTGATTTTTCCTACCATGGCAGGGTACCCTGAGATGGTCTTACCTTGAGATCCCTGCCTCGTCCTCCTCATCCACTTAGAGAGGCAATGAAGGGGGGTAAAAAAAACCTCTTGATAATTTATAAAAAGCTGTCAGACCTCTGCATTCCGTATCATCACATGCCAAGAGGTGGGGCTGCCTGGGCTGGAATGGGTCCAGGCACCAAGCAGGATCTCTTGAGTAATGGACTTGAGGATCTGACTCAGTCATTTAGAGAAAGTCTTTTTTTTTTAACGCCCCCCTCAACTCTCATCCCATTAACCCTACTTGGTGTACACAGTGAATGAACCCAAGGAAGCTGCAAGCAAATAGCCATTCGATCAGGTCCCAGATGATGGGAAATAAGAATTTACAATTAGGGGGTGAAGGTACTGTGTTGTCTCCCGTGTCTGCTCCCTTCCTCACCATTTCACTCAATGAGCAGCATTGATCCCCGGCTCCCCTCCCCTCAGAGCAGAAGCTGGGCTGAGGGAGGACGGTTATTCACTTGCGACAAGAATTTAAGATGTGGGATGGTGTCATCTACTATGCAAAGCTCTGGCTACCTTATATGGAACTGAGCCACAGCCAGCCCCTACAGACTCCCTTTCATAGGTCAATTCACTTGTTCATTCCTTCATTAATTTATTCAACACCAAGCCCCCACCCCTTGCCAGGTGATAGTGCCAGGAGGAAAACCCTCCCTTCCCTCAAGGAGTTCTCAGGATGTGACACCTGCTACCCTAACCCTCCCCTCTCCCAGCTCCAGGAACCCGTGCGATCCAGCAGCCCTGCTAACCCCACTGGCTGCCAGGTGGGCAGCAAACAGTCCAAGAGTCCCTCCAAAGGCGACCTGGCATCCGAGGGCAGGCTGGGAGGTGACTGGGGATCACTTGGAGAGGAACTTCTGCCCTGTGTTCTGGAAAGGACCTACCGCACATCTATTCAAGGGTCAGATGCTCCGACCTGATCACGAGCTGTAACATGCACGGTCTGGTCCCTTTGTGAGTTGACGAGGATATTCGGTTACAAGGAACTGGCAGCCCAGGGAGCTGATTTAAAACTATGGTGCTGGGGAGCTGGGGACAGGGTAGCAGCTGGGCCTCAGGAATGGACGGGATCCAAGGTTTATCACTTCTCATCTTGGCAGGCCCCCGGGCTGCCTCGTTCTTGTTTCTTCTGAATGCTGTGCTCTCCTGTTCCTCGGAGAGGGAAATGGGGCCACAGCAGGCTGGAACTTATCTGTTCTAGATCCAGGCAGCCAAGACTTCTGAATTCCATGGAGAGAGACTTGTTGGATAGGGTCAGCTTGGATCTAGCACCAGCCCAGGCCCCGGTAGATGATAGCAATCTGCAGGCACCATGCTGGTCAGTTACCAGGCAGTTCTGGGAGAGTCGCTGGAATCCAGGAGCTTCTTCTCAGCAGAGATCTACTGGAATGAGTTCAGGTTTGCCAGGCTGGCTGCAGAAGACGTTCTGTATCCTTCCCCAGACCATCGTTGCAATAGGGTGAGATGCCAGGGTCGTGGGCACAGCATGGGCCTCACTGTAGCTGGTGACCTGGGTGTTCTTCCCCCGACCTCGAGGTACTCATCTTTCTCACGCACTCAGCTCGATGGATTCCAACAGCACAGATCAAGGACTCGAAGCGGGGAGTGGCCCTCTGCATAGGACTGACAGGGTTGAAGGATACATTCCCCAGCTCCTGCTCTTGGATGAACAAATCTGGAGAGTCCCACACTGAACCCCTAAAGCCCTGCTTTAGGCGGGGACTGAACTCCAGCTGCCCAAAGCAGTGATATGTTTCATTATGTACCTGGACAGGCTGTCTTCCCTCCCTTCCTGGCTTCCCACGCCTCTGTTGGTGCTTTCTGGAATCCCAGCACTGCTTTATATGTCCACATCCCAGTCTCTGGGTCTGTGGCTGGGGACCCAAGGCAAGACCTGTGTGGTCTAAGAGCTAGATGAATGGGGAGGAGCTTTCAAGAAATAAGACCACACACATCTCTCCATGCAATCCTGCCATTTTCTCTAAAAATAGAGCTTTTTATTTAGAACAGTTTAGGGTAAATGCCCAAGACCATTAGGAAATTATTTAAATACAGTATCAACACAGAACAAAATTAGACATGGATACAAATACCTAAAAACAGTGCATAATCTCAGGGCACTAAAGAATCACAGTGTGGCTTTAGCCTAGGGTATCCCCCACCCATCCTTTCATGCTAGGCACCCCCGACCGGGTGCAGGAGAGGGCTCTGTAAACAGTTAAGGGCTGAGCGCACCTGACAAATTATGACATTGAACATCGCGCTCTTTCCTAATGCTTCCCATGGCTTTTTGTTAATGATTTAATGATGATAAAAGAGCTGGCATTGAGAATTACTAAAAAACTCAGCCTCTCTCAGAAATGAAATTTTGAAAGCAATGCTTAAAAAAATAACAAGGTTTAAGAAAAGAGGTAAAGTAGTTCCTTCACAGAGACCGAAGACAATAGTGATGAGAGCTTTTAGTTTTTCGAAATTACTTCCATGCAGCAGCTCAGCTGGGTCCCAGACGCCCTTCCTCTTCTCTGTGCTTAGGGACGCGGACAAGCCTCATCTCCTGTGGACACACACACATGTGTGTCTGCCTGTGTGCGTGTGTGTGCATGGATGTGTGAGTCCCAGCGTGGTGAAGGCCTCTTGCCAGCTTTGTGCTCCTGGAAATCCTTGCTGAGGATCCCTGCACTTTGTTGACATGGCCAAGGGCACACGGTTGACCCAGTTGGCCAGAGACCAGACATCTCACCCTTATGAACATGCATAGTGAGTTGACATTTGTTTGAAACAGAAGACAGGTATTCAATTAAAAAAGTGGTTTGCTGGGGACCTGGGTGGCTCAGCTGTAAAGCATCTACCTTCGGCTCAGGTCATGATCTTGGAGTCCCGGCATCGAGTCCCACATCGGGCTCCCTGCTCAATGGGGAGTCTTCTTCTCCCTCTGCCCCTCACCTCACTTGCGCTCTTTCTCTCAAATAAATACATAAAATCTTAAAAAAAAAAAAAAAGTGGTTTGCTGACTTCTTGAGCCATGGAACCCCTTAAACACCCTCACACGGAACACCTTGGGGGTACACTAGGGCTCAGGGAGGCTGCTCTGGTTGAAGTGGGGGATCCTATGGCCCATGGTTCCCCCTGCGACTGGGATTCCCTCCATGAAACCCAGAACCGTTTGGGAACATGGCTTGAGAAGCCCTGGAGCAGATGCCCATTTCTAGATCTTTCATGTAACAGTCAACCTTCATATTGCCTTCAAAACAACACAGCTCCATGGGAAAAATGGCTACGAAGACGCTTTCTTCAGAAATGGAGAAATGTAAGTCCTGGCAGTTAAATGGCAGGGCCCAAGTCACAGAACCATGATGGTTCAGAGCCCAGCCACACAATGACAAAAATCTTGGTCCCTGTGGGTACAGACTCAGCTCTGCTTGCCCATATGCTGGTAGGGATGGATTCCCAAGGCAGTGGCTTGAGAACACCCAGCACCAGCCCCCAGGTAAGGAGAGTCCCCTTGTAGGGGCGCTGACCATACTGACTCCATCTTTGGCCCTCCATCTTTTTCACGTTCGCTCCATGACCTCTCTTGAGGCTATGTGTTCTGGGCTCTTGGAGATTCATACACACATCTTAGAAATGCCCACCAGGGCCGGGACGAGGGTGGGAGGCTTGTTTTGGCCTCCCATGAATCTTTTAGAGATAACATAGACTTTCCCCTTCCTGACGTACAGGTGGTGCCAGAGGATCTAATGATAAGTTAGCTGTCAAGGAGGTGTGATCCAGCCCTCTGTGTGTGCAAACCCTCTGCTCTCAGCACAATGCCCTTCTGAATGTCCCCTGGCTCTATTATACCTGCGGACTGAGGCCTGGATTTTGCACAGAGTAACTATGCCTCTGCACGGATTACCCTCCACCCAATACTCCCGTCAGTGAGTTACCCTGAATAAAACTGTGCATAAACTCTATGCAGTGGCCTCCTTCATCTCCTGGTCTCGAAGTGCCCTTTCAGTTTGGGGGATGCTTTACTGCTTCTCCCTCACCTTTAACATACCCGCTGCTAGAAGATGCTGGATTCTTCTAGCATCTTCTAGAATCTTCTAGCAACTTCTACAACTAGAAGGGAAAATGGGACTTCTTTATAATTAAGGAGTCTGCCTAAAGTGCTGTCAAAGACAGGGATCACAGCCCAAGAGTCCAATTCTCTGCCGGGTTGCAACCCCAACCCCAACAAAGCAGACCCCTGGAAGGTGGATCCTTTGGTTCCTTCTTTTCCGGGAAAGGGGAGAGGGGTCAGGGTCCCTCTTGGCTGGGCTCTGGCTTCTGAGAGTGCAGTTTCCTGACCAAGAGGAGAGAGGAAGTTAGGGTAGAAGGCAGGAGGTAGATCGGAGGGGAGACCCGCTAAAAGGTGAATGTTAGTTGCTCAGAGTTTAGGGGTCACAGGTGGGAGGTGCCCAGGAGTCTTCTCAGAGCCTGGGAGGATGGAGAAGCCCACCAGCCACCATGCAGAGAGTACCAGTGATGTGCCAGGCACCACACTACACGTCTCTCTCTTGGGACTCTCAGCAACGGGTGAGAAAACCCAGGTAGAGTGAAGGAAGTTGGGTTACCCAAGGTCCCATGACTGGTAAACGTCAGAGCTGGGATTTGAATCCAGGTCATCTGATCATAAAAGGTATGTAATTCTATGAGTCAGAGGCTGGGATTTGAATAATGACTACCCTCTCCCTTCCTCTCCAACATCCCCTGCTTACTAGATCTTTCTTTACTGGGGCCCACCCAAGACAATTCATGAACTAGGAGGCTGAGACCTGTGGGTGGGGGAGCTCGGCAGGTGCCAGAGAAAGACATGACAGTGACAAAGATGTGCTCCCATTTCCCTCCCCCCAGATCCAGATGGCCCCATGTGGTGTCAGGACAGCCTCTGGTGTCCACTGTGACCTGACTTCACCAGTTTCATGCTATTCAGGGGTGATTCTCCTAACTGGCCTGTTACTCCAAAGGCAGTGGGGGTGATACGAACACCCAACCAACCTCTGACCTCAGCCCATTCTTGTCTCCACCCCTCCCGCAGCTCAGCCCAAAGCTGGTGAGTCAAAGACGATGCAGTGGCTTCTTACTGCTCAAGGCAATTGACAACAACCCTGGGGTTTCCAAAATGCTTCAAGAGCCCTCCATGTCCTCAGCGGTGATGCTCCCAGACTCTCAAGTCTCAGTGGCATCTCGGTCCTAGGAAAGCTCAGTGGTACCAGATGTGGTGGGGGGCGGAGCTGGGGAATGGCTCACCTGGCCATGTAATGTCCCAGGGTCCGACCTCTGACCTCAGCCTTCTGTAGGTTCCCGGCCCCCCAGCTGCCAGGACTGTCATCCTCAATTTCTGATTCCCTTCCTCCTCCATCTTCACTTTCTTCTTCGTCCTCCTCCTCCTCCTCTTCCTCTTCAGGGTTGCTGTCCCAGCAAAAGGTCAGTGTGTGGAGAGAAACTGGGGGCTCCCCAGGGAGCAGATCCAGCCCTGGTGAGAAAGAGCCCCAGCTGACCCAGGAGGAGAGGTCATCTTTCCAGGGATCTTCCAGGAAACTCAAGTCCTTGGAGAATTCAGGCAGTGGGAGAGGCTCCTGACACTCGTCCCCACCTGGCCCTTGGCCTAGTGTCTTCTTGGCCAAATAGCAAGAGGACTCAGACTCATCCCAGGGGGAGGAGCCCCCCGCACTGGCCCAGCTTCTGTCTGAAGCATCGGTAGCAGACCAGCCTTCGACCTGGACAGGAGGGCTCCAGGTGTCCCCTGCCGCAGAGTTTCCCGGGATCTGGTGCTCCTGCCCTAGGAAGGAGGGTGGTTCAAGGTAGGTCTGAAAGTTGACATTGTTGTCTGCGTCCTCCTCATCGTCCTCCTCCTCAGCACTGTTCTTCTCTGGTCCTGCCTGGATGGTGGCTGGGGTCCTGACTCTGGGGCTTGGCCGGACCCTTCTGGTCAGTTCCTTTTGGGGACAGAGGGTCAAGGTATCCAGGGGCTCAGGACCACTGGGATGAAGGGTTGCCGTGGGGTATCTGTTTCCAGAAAAGTCCTGATTTGGGGAGGGGAGAAAAGAACAGAAAATCGGGCTTTCCTGAAGGATAGGTTCTCCTGACAACAGACCCCAAGGCAAGGAGTCAAATGTAAGTAGTTCTTTTGGGAAGTGATCCCAGGAAACACCAGTAAGGGAAAATTCACTAGGGCTGGGGGAGAGCCACCAAGAGAGGCTGTCATCAGGCAAGTTACCCTTGGGGGGCAGCTGGAAGCCAGTGCAGCCCACGTACCTCAGGGCACCATCGGGTGAAGGGTGGGAAGAGTGACAGTGATGCTGGTTCCCCAGCCAGCCACGTGCACGGACGCAGTGGACACCAGAGGCCAGAGGAAGCCCCCCGGGGCAGGTGCTGGCTGTTGGAAGCTGAGTGGTGACTTTCCATGTAATGAGCAGGTGGAGGGGTGTGGCAGAGCACAGAAATGTCTAACACACAGCTTGTAGTTCAGATGGGATTTCCCTGCAGGTCCCAGAGCTAGGGACTTTGAAAACACTTCTGGGCAGCAGGTACCCAAAATCCTGACCCGAGGGCCCAGTGAGCTGCACCTACAGCCTAGCCAGCCTCACCAAGCCCTCATTTGAACAAGTCAGACCCATCTGACCTCTCCAGGCTTTCCCCTGCCCCATCTTCTAAGGGAGTGACTCGGCAGACAAGTGAGGAGATTCCGGGCTCAGCCTGGGCAAGACACACCCTTGGTTAAACTGTGAACTCAGTGCTGGGATCCTTTTAAGATTTTCCCTTCTGGCACCACCCTCTCTCCCTCCCACTTCTGGGCATCCCTCCTGAGTCCCAAGGCTGGGGGTTCAGCTCTCAGCACTTGACAAATCCATAGCAGAGAGGATTTCACTATGGGGACTTAAGGCACGTCTCCCTCCCAGGTATATTTGCCATTTGAATTTGCTGCCAAAGGAATGAATTACTAATGGTGGAAATTTAGACGTGAAAATAGGAGATTTTTGTAGTCTGGACTAACTGATACTCTATCTGACTCATGTCTTTAAGTGCAGCCCCATTTCCTTATTCTTCAACAACCCTCCCCCTCTGTTGCACACGCCCAGTCTTGTCATACCAGGGCCCATGGCATCTTTGCCTGCTGAAACCAGGGGTTCTCTCTGAAGTTCTTCCAGATCACAAAGCCTATGGCAATGACCAACAGCAGGGGAAGCAGAAGTGGTAGCAGCACCAGGAATGCCCAGCTGGCTCCTAAGTGAGGAAAAATAAGAACTACAGAAACTGGGTGGCTCAGTTGGTTGAGCATATGACTCTTGGTTTTGGCTTAGGTAGTGACCATCTCAGAGGATCATCTCATGGGATTGCACTCAGAAGGGAGTCTGCTTAAAAGATTCTCTCCCGCTGTCCTCCCCCTGCCAGTTTGTGCATGTGTGTGCGTGCGCACTCTCTCTCTCAAATAAATAAATCATTAAAAAAAAAAAAAAAAGAACTGCAGAAACAATGACCATGGCTCCCATCTCTAACTGTATGGGTGCTGCGGGCTTCACATGCATTACCCTGTGTAATTCTCATAAGAGTAAACCCATCCTACAGACTATGGAAACCAAGATTCAGAGAGGTGATGTAAGCTACCCAAAGACACAGTGAGTGCAGTGGAGCTGGGATTCTAATCGAGGGGAGTCTATTTCCGGACTTAATGCTCTTAACCACCATAGGATGGAGATAATATGTCCCAGGGGGGCGGGGAAGTCCTCACCTCTGTATCACTCGGCACTCACCGGGGGCATCCACGAAGAAGCAGGTGGGCTTGGAGAACTCGCTGTATTTAGGATCACCAAAGGTGTAGATGGTCCTGGCGCTGAGGCAGTAGTGGCCACTGGCGGCCGGCTGCAGGGGGATCTGCACTGGCTGGCCGTGGGAGGTGACTGGAAATCGCGTCTGTTTGGAGAGATGGCAGGGGGTGTGGGCAGACCCGCTGTGGGGACAGGACAGGGTGGGGTGGGAGGATACACCTGGGATCCCTGCCTCTTCTTTCCCTGCATTACAGTCTAATCATGAGGAGGCAACATTAGCTGGTATCTTCTCCACTGAATCTTCAAGTAGAGAAGGTGAGCACTCAAAACTGCCCTGTCCCTCAGGGTCACCTTTGTGGGCACCCCGCTGCCCCCAGGGCGTGTAGGTCCCCATTTTGGAGGCCAGATTCCTCAGGCTTTCCACCCTCAGGGCCTCCCAATGTATCCGGGGGGTAGGGAGCATCTCAGTCATTCGGTCATTATGGACCCAGAAAACTCCATGGCTGCCCTGCCCAGTCCAGCAGCCCCTGGTCCAAACTGAAATGAGCTCTGAGTGTAAAATCCACATCGGCTTTCAAAGACTCTGTGCAAAAGGGACGTGAAACCTGTCAGGAACTTTTATATTATTTACATGTTGAAATGATAACATTTTATTGGATGAGATGAAATATATTATTAAAATTAAATGAACTTGTTTCTTTTACATAATTTAATGAGGAACATTTAACATGACACCCGTGGCTCCCACTGTATTTTTACCCAAGGGTCCTGGAGACAGGGACCGTGTCGGAAGAAGATCTAGGGTCCAGAATATATGAGCAAGTGGTCAGGAGTGTGAATGTTGGGGGGGTTCCGTGAAAGAAAGAAGGAATAAGAAAAGGGGTCAGTAAATTACAGCCCATGGGTCAAATCTGGCCTGCTATCTTTTCTTTCCGCACGTTGCATTTCCCTGGAACACGGCTATGCCCATTTATCGACCCATCGTCTGTGGCTGCTTTCCTGTGTTAGAGGCAGAGTCCACTAGCTGGACAGACCACGTGACCCTCAAAGTAAGAAAATATTTGCTATGTGGCCCTTTACGGAAGATGTTTGCCAACCCCTGCCATCAAGCAATGTGTACAGACACACACAGGTGCGTACATGAGAAACAAGTCTGAAGCTGGATATTTGTGGTAGTCTATGGGTACTTTTAGGTTCCTTCCAAGAATGTATCTGTGTTTTCTGATTTTTTTGTTGGTAATGAAACCAGTGGCTTGGCAAGCAGGCCTCCTAGGGCCTATCATACTTCAATCAGCTTTCACTGGACAAGAAGGGTTTCATAATTTAAAAAAATATATATTGGATAGAAAATGGGTGTGCTGTTACTACCTATAATGTGCACGGGCAGGACATCTTATATTTGCCTTCTTAGGTGGAGAAGGGCGGTGGCGGGGTCGGGGGATGGTGCACAGGCCAATCAGGGCCTGACTACAGAGTCAGGGGTGACTGCCAGGAGTGAGAGGTATGTGGGGAGGGCTTCCTGGAGGAGGTGTGCAAAAAGTAGGCAGGCAGGGTGAGAGGCACTGGGGTTTGGTGGGGTAGTGGGGGAGGGAGGTCCAGCCTGGGGGGCATGAAAGGGTTTTTTTTACCTTGTTCTTGATTCCCTCCTTCCAGAAATCCACCTCATACTTCAGATCCGGTCGGGGCATGCAGTGGGGCAGCTCGTAGGTGGCATTGATGCTCAGGACCTCCTCTGTCCGAGTGACTACCAGGGCGGGTGGGGCTGGCTCCACTGGCAGAAATGGAACAGGACCTGTCAGCATCCATCCCCCTGCCTCCAGGCAGGCCTGCCCTCCCACTCTGCCCTCTGCCCCCACCTCCCAACTCAGAGAACACTCCCGAAAAGGCAAAGTGGCTCTGGTGTTTGTTGAGCACCTACTATTATACCTCAAGAGCCTTAAAGTCATTTTATTTCAGCTTTGCAGTGACCCTGGGAGGGAGACACCACTATTCTCATCATTCGGAAGGGCAAACTGTGAAATGAACAGGCCAGGCTCACAGCTCACCTGCCTTTCCTCCTGCTGCCCCCTGCACCTGGGTGCCTGCACGTACCATGGGTCTGTCAGAATCCTGTCCCCTGGCACTTCCTACGGTTGCTGACACATCACCACAAAGAGGGTGGCTTAAAACAACACACATGTGTTACTTCCCAGTTCTATAGGTCAGAGTCCGGGGACACTGATAACATATTAAGCCCTGAACAGGAAGCTGGAGGGAACGCAGATCTTGACCTCCAGGAGTTGGAGGAAATTAGGGGGCAATGAAATATGCAACTATCAAAACTCAAGAGAGTAAATGACCAGAGCCCCAGCCGAGGGTGGCGAAAGTCAGGAAGGCTCATTCTGGCTTGAGGGTGTGCTGGGGGAGAGTCAGGAGAGCTTCAGGGAGGAGGAGGAGGCAAACACACAATTAATAATAATAAAAAAGTAACCTCCTCGCTGTATCTTTCCTTCCACCCTGCTCGCTTATCCCTGTCCCTCCAACTACTGGTTCGTCCTTCGCTCTTCTAGCCTGCCTGCCCATCCTTCCTTTCTTACCAACCAACACTCCTTTCTTTCTCCCTGTTCCTTTAGACTGTCTTCCTGCCTTTAGGCTAGCCAGCCCCCTACTTCCCTGCCCTCCTTCCTCCCTACCCTCCCATTCTTCTTTACTTTCCATACATCGTTCCTTCTTGTCCTTGTTCCCTTCCTTCCTCCTTTGCCTTCCCCTTTCCTCCTGTCCTTCCACCTCTTCCCTCTTCCCATCCTTCTATCTACCCATGGATCCATTCATCTGCCTTTCCTTCCTGTCCTCCGTCTTCCCATCCACATGTGATTCCTTTCCAATTAGCCTGTGTCTTTCCAGGCAGCCTTCTTCCTTCCCCATCTCTGCTGTAACCTCCTGCACCCCCTCCCTTCTCCCCTTCTTATCCATCTACCCAGCCAGCTTCTCGTACCCAGGTTAGCTCTTCCTTTCTACTATCCCTCCCTGCCACCTTTCATTCAAGCCCTTTCTCCTCTCTCTCCAAGCCATATTCTGCTCTCACATATTTTGAGAAGACTGGGCAGCAAGTTACAGATCTCAGCTCCGAGAGGCTATTGTTTGAATATTTCTCTTCTCCTTCTTAATACCCCTCCTCACTCTTGGTCTGGTCCAGTACCATGACCAAGATTAGAAAGATCCAGATCCTTATTCCATCTCTACCCCTCATTAGCTGTGTATCCTGGTAAGTTCCTTAGCTTTTGTGAATCGTACTTTATTTTTTTTTAAATGGGTTGATGAAAAGGAACTGCACAGGTTTGTCATTAGGATTAGAAATAAAATACACTGGGAGGAGAAAAGTACTCTCCTGGTTCAGTGTTAACACTGGTGATTTCTGAATACGGTACCCGTGGGGGATGCTTTCCTCTCTATTTTTCTCTCCTTCTCTCCCCCACCCCAATTTCTACAGTGCACAGAAGTTACTTTCGAAGCTGGAATTTAAAAATTGTTTCTTTTTTTTTTAAAAAAGATTTTGTTAAAAAAAAAAAGATTTTGTTTATTTATTTGAGACAGAGAGCACAAGTGGTGGTGGGGGTGCAGTGAGGAGGGGTAGAGGGAGAGAGAGAGAAGCAGACTCCCTAGCCCGATGCAGGGCTTGACTTCGAGACCCCAAGATCATGACCTGAGCTGAATGCAGATGCTTAACTGGCTGGGCCACCTAGGTGCCCCCCAAATATTGTTTCTTAAAGAGAATTTGAACATAAAAAATAAGAATAAATATATAAAATGCCTCGCGTAGTTCATGACTAAGGTTGTGCTCGCTAGAAGATAAAGAGCATCGCTAGAAAGAGGTGTAAATGGAATTGTTGGTGCTGGCAGAAGTCCCCTAAGCCACCGCCACGAAGCCAGGCTACATGTGGCTGTCCTTGCTTTGGGGACGTGGGAGACGGTGGCCAGGACAGCAGTGCCACTTAGCCAAAGTTCCTGGACAGGGAGTCTCCCACCAGGTCCCTTAACCACAGACTTACCTTCAAAAAGGTAGTCCAGGTACTTGGACTCCACCATGGGGGACCTGGCGCTGGCAGAAGCCGCCCATACGCGCCCCTTGAACTTGTTGTACAGGTCCTGTTTCTCCAGGCACATCAAAGAACACACCAGCTCTTTGGTTCCTTTGCACTTCTGCACTTTTCTCCACCGTCTGGGGGTCGCAGCACTGAGGGAGGAGACAGGGGAGTTTGGGCTGTGGACTCAGCCTCTGGGGTGAGAGGGCTTAGCGAACAAGTGCTCCCTTGTCCCCCCATCTGCCCGACTGTCCACCCGTCTGCCTGTCCTACTAGCCAGCCATGGGCTAGGACAGAATGAGAACAGTCTATTTAGGAGCTCAGGCTCTGGGAGAAGCGGGTGGAATCCTGGCTCCGTCCTTCACTAGCTCTGGGGCCTCAGCGGGTCATCCCCCCCACGTGCCTCCCCAGGGCCACGTGGTGGCCGCTACTGTCAGTGCTAGCAACCGGTTCCCCTGTTCTTCATTCAGCCCTTTCAGGCCACCTGCTGTGTGCCAGGCATCGTGCTGGGTGCTGTGTGGCTGTCAGAGGGGACACGCACGTCTGTGATGCCAACCTTCAGACGTCACTGGGGTCCGAAGAAGGGACATGCATACTGGCCATTATTCTTGGGGAACTGGCAAGGCCTGACAGGTCCTGCCCTCGGGAACTTCCATTCTGGTGGGAAGGGGAGAAAGACAATCATCCCACCAGCGAGGTGAACCCAGGAGCGGGTAAGGGCAGCGGGAATGGGGAATGGGGGAGGACTGCTTTCCAAAGGTAGGCCAGGAAGGTCGTTTTGAGGCCTTGATAGCAAGGAAGTCAGGGTAGGCCTGTGGGAAGGAATGGCAAAAGCAGAGCCTGCAGTGGGAAGGAGTTTGACCTGTCCGGAAGAAAGCAAGGAGGCCAGCGTGGCGGCAGGCCAGTGGGCAAGGGAGGGAGATGTGCGCACAGGCTGGAGAGGTGGGGGGATGGGTGGATGGGTAGATTAGGTAGGGCCTCCGCATCCTGGTAAGGAGCTTGTATTTTATTCCAAGCGTGCTAGGGAGTCACTGGAAAGTTCTGAATAGGGGACCTGAGACGATCTAATTTCTGTCTTTAAAAGATCACTCTTGGGGCACCTGGGTGGCTCAGTTGGTTGAGCATCTGACTCTTGGTTTCGGCTCATGTCACGATCTCAGGGTTGTGAGATCAAGCCTCACATGGGGCTCTGTGCTGAGTGGGGAGTCTGCGTGAGATTCTCTTCCTCTCCAACCCCCTTTTCCCCTCCCCCACTGGCTCTTGTGTGCACGTATGCTCTCTCCCTCTCTCAAATAAATAAATCAGTCTTAAAAAAAAAATAAAAGATCACTCTGATAAAGCAGCTGGGAGGCTGCAGCAGTGGTCTAAGGGAGAACGGAGGTGAGGTTGGCGAGAAGGGGCTGGACTGGGGATATGTTCTGGAGGTAAAGTCGGTAGGACCTGCTCATGGATTGGATGTGGAACACGTGGAGAGGAGAATCCACAGTCACTCCTGGGTTTGGGCACCGAGCAATACATGAATGGAGGAGGCTGAGATGGGTATGGCAAAGTGAACAGATTTTGGGGGAAGAATTCCTCTGTTTTGTTTCTTGGTAGAGCTATAGCATGTAAACATTAACAATAATAATTAAAACAACCCTGGTGTCGTTATATTAATATGAGACCAAATACAGACTTCAAAGTTCACAGAAATATGAAAGACGAGAAGAACCACCACAAAATGAGAAATTATTTCATTTCTCAGGAAGATATAAAAATTCTCTTTTATCTACCTGCTAAACAGCTACATACACTATACGGCAAAAACAGACAAAACTGTAGGACGAAACAGAAAATCCACAATCATCATGAGAGATTTTCAATACACCTCACTCAGTAATTGATGACTGAACAAAGAAAAATAAGCAGTAGGTATGTAAAATACACAAAAAAGAAAAATGTAATTATCAAAGTTGGTCTAATGAACATAAATAGAACTGAACTAGTTGAGCCACACGTGAAACAAAATATGAACAAAAATGTTAGCACACGGTTCCCTTGGTTTTGGGCCCATCCTTATGACAGCATTTAATCTTAATTACCTTGCGAAAGGCCTCATCTCCAAATACACTCATGTCAGGGGGTTAGGGCTTCAGCACACGAATATGCTGGCGTACGACTCAGTCCATGTCAGGGCTGTTATAAATTAAACTGGTATGAATGCTCATGTACAAGTCTTTGTATGGACGTAGCTTTTCATTTCTCGTAAATAACGCGTTAGGAGTAGAATCTGGGAGATTTGGCATCTGAAGGTGAAACATGACAAGAAACTGTCAAGCTGATTTCCAAAGCCACTGTACATTTCCACCAACAATGCAAGAATTCCATTTCTTCCACATGCCTGTCAACACTTAGTATTGTCAATCCCTTTCATTTTAAGCCTTCTAGTTGGTGTGTGGTAGTGTTTCATTGTACCTTTGATTCACATTTCCCTGAAGACTAAGGCTATCGACCATCTTCTTATGTACTTTTTGGCCACTTGAGTATCTTCCTTTGTGAAATGACGATTCAAGTCTTTTTGGGTGATCTGTCTTCTTATTAATAAGACGCAGGAATTCTTTATCTGTTTTGGATACTAGTCCTTTTCCAGTGTATATATATGGTGAATATTTTTTTTAAAATAGTAGCTGGTTTTTTCATTTTCTTCAGGCTTTTTTTTTTTTTAAACAGTAAAAGTTTTAAATGTGATGAAATCCAGTTTATTAGGTATTACGGACTAAATTGTTTTCCCCCCAAATCATATGCTGAGGCCCTAACCCCCCGTATGACTGTATAGGCCCTTGGAGATAGGGCCTTTTAAGAGGTAATGAGGAATAAATGTGGTCATAAGGTGGGGCCCTAAACCAATAGGACTTATATCCTTTAAGGAAGAGAAAGGGATACCAGGCACGCTCTCACACAGAGAAAAGGCCACATGAGGACAGAGAGAGAAGGCGACCATATGCAAGCCAAGGAGAGAGGCCTCAGGAGAAAGCAAACCTGCAGACACCTTGATCTTGGACTTCCAGCCTCCGGAAGTGTGAGAAGTACGACTCTGTTGTTCAAACCCCCAGGCTATGGTATTTTGTCTTGGGAGCTCTGGCAGACTAAGACAGATTTTGGTACCATAAATAGGGTGCTAATGTAAGAAATAGCAAAAAATGTGGAAGCGGCTCTGCAACTGGGGAATGTCTAGAAGCGGGAAGAATTTTCAGGTGCGTGCTAGAAATTCCCAGAGTGCCCTGAAGAGACTATTGGTAGGGATAGGGAGTCAAAGGCGGTTCTAGGAAGAACTTGGATGCAAAGGAAGAACGTTTTACTGGAAACTGGGGGAAAGGTGATCCTTGTTAGAGAGTGGCAAAGACATTGGCTGAATTGCGTTTTGGTGTTTTGTGGGAAATAGAAGTTAAAAGTGATGAACTTGGACATGTAGCTGAGGAGATTTCTAGGCAAAGTATTGAAGACGTGACCTGGTTTCTCCTTACTTCTTATGGTAAAAGGAGAGAGGAGAGAGGTATGTAGAAAGCACTATTAGGCCAAAAGGAACCAGAACTGGAAAATTCTCAGCCTATGCATACGGCAAAAAAAAAATGAGAAAGTAAGTTCTAGAAGGAACACCAAGGGTGAGGGTGTAGTTGGGAAATTTGATACGGAGATCATGGATGGGACTCACGGTTAACTTAATCAGCCATCTCAGTAGAAGCCAGAAACAGAGATGGAATTAGAATGATCTGTATACCTACCTACCTGTCTCATCCTGTTTACTGAAAAGATTGAAAGCAGTAGCTAAGTGGAGATCAGCACAGCTAGCATATACATTGTTCTTTAAAACCATTTTCTACTAAATGGTGAAATGGCTGATTCAGGTTTTAGGTCCGGATTGTGCAAATGAGCCTGGAAGATCTTGGTATAACAACAACAAAATAACCAAAATTACTAGCATCAAATTAAAAGGACTCGGAGGGTGCCTGGGTGGCTCAGTGGGTTAAGCCTCTGCCTTCAGCTCAGGTCATGACTTCAGGGTCCTGGGATGGAGCCCCACATTGGGCTCTCTGCTCAGCGGGGAGCCTGCTTCCCCCCACCCCTGCTTGCCTCTCTGCCTCCTTGTGATCTCTTTCTCTGTCAAATAAATAAATAAAATCTTTTAAAAAAATAAAAATAAAAATAAAAGGACTTGGGACCGAACTTGAAAGGATTTTTCACTGCCTCCAAATGGGATAATTCAAGTTTTAATTTGCAGACAAGTTGCATTAGATTGAGACCGTCAGCTATGTTTAAGTACTAGAGTTCATAATGATAACAAAGAAACCAAATCAATCACCTTTGGGAGATGACAGAGAACCAATTCATGACCTTGGAAATTGGCACAAAAAATTGAAACAAAAACCTGAATCAGCCATTTCACCATTTAGTACCTATCTGAAAGGTATACTGAATGTCAAACACGTTAAGAGAGGAAGCATCTTTTTGTAAAATAATTCCACCTAATAAGTGAAAAAAATCATACAATTAGAATATCATCATTTAAGAATCCTCACAGGTGTTCAAAAAGTGTAAAAGAGAAGGACAGTATCACAAAGGTCTGGAGGATGGACTCTGACTTCTAATCAGCCCATCCTGGCTCCACTATTCTCAATGGCTTGACTGAGTAAACCATGCTCTGGGCGCCCGTTTTCTGCCCTGCAGACCGCAGGTGCCACACCCCTCCTCACGGGTCTGTGTGAGAATAACTTCGGTTAATGTGTGGACACAGTGCCTGACACACGACAAGCACACAGTTCATGTTAGGTGTTTCCTGCCTCCTGATACATCCCCGTACGGTTCTTTCTTTTGAGAGCTTGCTGGCAATCTGCCCTCTTCCAAGCTAGGCCTCCCACCCTCTTACTCACAACCAGATGCTATAGAAGGAGGGACTATGACAGAACAGGAAGCACGTAAGCTTTGGGGTCAGACAGCTGGGGTTTTTCTTCTGGCTCCATCCCTGGTTCCCTCGGGCAGATCACAGCCCCTCTCTGAGCTCAGGTTCTTGGTCTCTAAAACTGGGGAAGTGCAGGGCTCAGTCAGTTAAGTGTCCGACTGTTGATTTCCGCTCTGGCCCTGATCTCAGGGTCCTGGGTTGAACCCCCTGTCGGGCTCCGTGCTCCCTCTGTTCCTCCCCCTACTTGCACTCTCTCTCCCACAAATAAACAAAATAAAATCTTGAAAAAATAAAATAAAACAGGGGAAGCGCAGACCTGCCTGGGTATACAGGGAGGAGGAAGTGAAACATTCATGTGAAACTTTAGAACTCAGCCTGGCACAGGTGGGTCCTATATACTCGGCACGCACCACCCCTTCCTACTTCGCCCTCCTCACCCGGCCTAGAGGAGTCCTCCTGACTACCTGCTTCCATCATCTTACTCTCTTACTAAAGAACCTCAAGTGATTGCTATCTATGTGCAAAGATCAGCAAATCTGCTTCCACGTTTGGATTTCTCTGGATTAGTTATGGTTGTGTGGAATGCCAGGCTGAGAAGGATCTCAAGGCTCTGTAGGGAAAAGCATGATCCTCTGGGATGCCCACCACAGGCTCTGCAGGAGATACGTCTGCCCTCCCTTTCCAGCTGGAACAACTCCAAGCTCCTCATTCAGGCCCTGGAGAATGCCACCACTGGGTCCCTGTAGCTCTACCCAAGCCCTGTTCCAACTCTTCTCAAAGATCCTCCTGAGCTACCCTACGACCCAGCAATCACACTACTGGGTATGTACCCTAAAGATACAAATGTAGTGATCCGAAGGGGCACGTGCACCCCAATGTTTATAGCAGCAATGTCCACAATAGCCAAACTATGGAAAGAACCAAGATGTCCATCAACAGATGAATGGATAAAGAAGATGTGGCATATATATATACAATGGAGTACTATGCAGCCATCAAAAGAAATGAAATCTTGCCATTTGCAACGACATGGATGGAGCCAGAGGATATTATGCCAAGTGAAATAAGTCAATCAGAGAAAGACAATTATCATATGATCTCTCTGATAGGAGGAATCTGAGGGGCAGGGCGGAGGTCATGGGGGGAAGGGAGGGAAAAAATGAAATAAGATGGGACCAGGGAGGAACAAATCATAAGAGACTCTTAATCTCAGGAAACAAACTGAGGGTTGCTGGGGGATGGGGGATGGAGGGATAGGCTGGCTGGGTGATGGAATTTGGGAGGGTATGTGCTATGGAGAGTGCTGTGAATGGTGTAAGCCTGACAGTTCACAGACCTGCACCCTTGAAGCAAGTAATACATTATATGTTAATTTAAAAAACATAAAAAAATAAAAAAAGATCCTCCAGAGGCCCAGTAGACCCAACACCTGTGCACTGTCCCCTAATCAGCATCATTCCCCCACCTCCAGACCTTTATCAACGCACTCTCCAAACACCTGCCACAAGCTGTCTCCCGTGGGACACAGAACCAGGAAGCTGACGACACCCAGTGCAGATGTCCCAGACAAGCCCTCCAGCTTCTGCCCACCTCCTCAGGCTCCCCAAACAAGACCGGAGGCTCCCCTCTACCTTTGATAGGCCACAAAATAGGTCACGTTCTGGGAGTAGCCAGGCCCTGGGAGCCATGTCAGGTACACACCGAAGTCCCGGGAGAGCAGCGTCACGTTCTGGGGAGGGGGGAGAAGGGGCTTCCCTGTGGGAGAGAAAGAAGTCATGAAGCCTGTAGCTCCTGACCGGTCTTGACACAGGCCATCTGATGGAACTGATGAGCAGTGTGGTGGGTAGTCACGTGCTCAGTGAGTTTGAGAAGCAGGCGTCATCTGGGGTAGCTAAAACATGGGAGACATGAAGTAGGCTGGGCACCCAGGGCCAGGATTCCGATCACAGCCATGCCACTAACTGCCTGTACCACAGCCCCTTCCCCTCCCTAGGCCTTCGTGGCCCATCTAGCACCCGAGGGTTTCAGTGGAACACCTCCAAACAGGAACCATCTAACATCTACCGAATTTGCTGGACTCCGGGAGGGAACAGCCCTGAGGGTCACAGGAGCAGACGCTCAGTTCTGTTCTTAGCCATGTCCCTGGAGCTTGCCTGCCACGGTCCCTGACCGTGAGAAGATGAACAATACGTATTTGTTGAATGAATGTGAAATTTTGTGAAATTTGGATCATTCCAAAGGCCTCCTAACTGGTCTCCTTGTTTCCAACCTTGTCTCTTTAGTCCATTCTCCATAGCAGCAAGGGCTAATGTGAAAGTCAGATCATGTCGCTCTTCTGCTTTAAACCCTCTAATGGCTTTCACTTCGTTCAAGGCTAAATCAAAAGTCTTTATAACCCCCCCCCCCCCACCAGACCTCCCCCATCCCCCCCACTCCTCTCCCCCCATGCTCCCTGCTCCCAGCCACACAGGCCTTTCTGCTGTTTCTAGAGCATGCCAGGCATGCCCCCCCCCAGGCCTTTCCATGAGCTGTTCCCTCTGCCTAGACTAGTCCCCCTCCCTGGATCTCTGTCAGGCTCATGCCTTTGCTTCCTTCACATTTGGCTTAGATGTCACCGTCTCAGTGACCTGGCCCCTATGTCCCCTCCTTGACACGTCTTCCCCAATGCTAACCCTCACCTCCTGAAATATACACCTGATTACGCCTCTCCCTAGTTTCCATGTCCTTCTCTGGCCCTTAGGATAAAATCCATGCTCCTTATTGAAATACGTGACAGGTCACCTTGTCGACCTCTCCCTGATAGCTCCCTAGCAGGCTCATCAGGCTGCAGCCAATCTTGGTTCCTGTCCTTCTCAAACAACTACATTCTCTTGGGTGACTTTGAACCCAGGAGTCTTTGACAGCCTGGTGTTCACCATTTAAATTTTTTTTTTTTTAAGATTTTATTGGGGCGCCTGGGTGGCTCAGTGGGTTAAAGCCTCTGCCTTCGGCTCGGGGTCATGATCCCAGGGTCCTGGGATCGAGCCCCGCATCGGGCTCTCTGCTCGGCAGGGAGCCTGCTTCCTCCTCTCTCTCTCTCTCTGCCTGCCTCTCTGCCTACTTGTGATCTCTGCCTGTCAAATAAATAAATAAATAATCTTAAAAAAACAAAAGATATTATTTTATTTGACAGGCAGAGATCACAAGTAGGCAGAGAGGCAGGCAGAGAGAGAGAGAGAGGAGGAAGCAGGCTCCCTGCCGAGCAGAGAGCCCGATGCGGGGCTCGATCCCAGGACCCTGGGATCATGACGAGCCGAAGGCAGAGGCTTTAACCCACTGAGCCACCCAGGCGCCCCCTCATCTAATCTTTTAAAGACCTGATTCAAATGTCAGTTCCCTGACATCTCTAAGAAGTGGTAGTGAGGGTGATGGGGATGATGGTGATGACGGTAGCAGCTAATGTGTATTGTGTCCTAACCATTTTTTTTTCAATCCTCCCCACTTCCCTAGGAGGGAGGCACTAACCGTGATCATCACATTAGAGATGAGGGAAACAGAAGACTTGTCAGGTAATAAGTTATAGAAGCAGAATCCAAAGCCAGGCCAAGCCAACTCCAAATCCTGAGCTCTTGACCATACTTCCTTCTTGAGGGTCTCATGGGGCCTTGTTCAACTTTATCCTTCCAACATCTCTGAACCGATACTGGCCAATGACATCTGTGGACCACTGTGTACCAGAAGTTCCAAAGAGGAATATAATTCCATTCTTGCCCTTTAGGAGCTCATGGTCCTATGAGAATTCAGCTCCCTGAAGTATACACACAGGTCACACAGTGTGTATTTATGTGTATTTATGATGTGTAAATTAAATCTGAATTGATGATGGAAATCCATACCGGTTACAGAATGGTGTGGGGGGAATGGGGGGCAGGTCTACGGATGGCTCTTGCCTCAGCTCCCTACCCCTGGCCTTTTAACCCAAATATGGGTTAAAATATGGGTTAAATACAGCTTCCACCTCATCCTGGGATCCCCACTTGGAACTGGATCCCTGCGGTGCAGATGCTGTCACTGTTCCCAGCTTTCTAGCAGGTGAGCTGCAGAGGCCAAAGTCTGAGAATTATAAATTATCTTGTGGCAGCACACGCCCAGAGCAGAAACAGCAGCTAGAGTGGTTATCGGCTACTGAGCCCTCGAAGGGTGGGAGGCACTGGTTTGACACTTCCTTCACAAAGCCTCATTCCGTCCTTAGGACAAACCATCCCTATGGGGTGGATGTCACTCTCTTTCCATTCAGAGGACTAGACTCAGAGACAGATGGTAAATAATTTGCCAGAGGCTACGCAGCCAGTTTGTGTGGGGGCCAAGATTTGAACCTGGATCTGACTGTGCTTTACCCTAAACATCACAAACGGCGGTTTGTGTCGGGTACATTAAATATTTCCCAGGTAAAACTGTAGTTAGATCCAGATAGGAAAACTATTGAAGTTGACAGTGAATCAGGGGGACAGACGATCCCTCCCCACCCCCACATACACACAGAAGCACTGTCCTTTACCAGCTGCAATGACAGCCCCTGCTGTGGACGTGCCTGGGGCTGGGGCATCCATGAGCTGACCCAGATGGACCGACGGTCTTCCTCCAGCTGCCCACCCCACAGTCAGAGCTGGCCATGCTTGCTTCAGCTTCAGGCTTCTCTTCCTGCGCTTTCCTTCTTGGGTAACTCCCCTGATTGCTCTGAGCCTCAGTTTCCCCCACTTGAAAAGGGAGAGAACAGTCCCTACCTCATAGGATGGTGGGGTTGTGCCACTTAAGTAGGGGAATAGAAGTTGCTCAAGAAACGTTGGCTTTTGATATTAGCATTAAATGATGCCCAAGGGCCCTTCTTGCTCTTAAACTGTTAGCCTGGGACCAGGAAGTCCAAGACTGGGGGCTCTATTGGACCTTCTCCTGACCGGTTGGGGTTTGGTGGTTGGGTCCCAGCCTAGGGTATTTTGTACCCTGCCTCCTTATTTACCAGTGGGAGCCCAAAAAAGAAGGTGGCTTGTTAGAGTAACAGCAGCGCACAGATTCCGCTCAGTCTGGGCGCTTCTGAAACCGTCTGGCCCGAGGAAGGGAAGGGGACCGCGCGGGAGGGCAGGACTTCCCCTAATAGCGAGGATCCAGTCTCGTATTAATGCAGGGGACGGTGCCTTTAGGAAACCTTAAGCAGCACTTTATAAAACAGCGCGGCTACTTTTCCAACTGCCACTGTCTTTCCCTGTGCACCTGGGGCGGAATTGGCATTAGGAAACTGAATCAGTTTCCTACGGGAAAGGAATTTCAAAGCCTTGGGTCTGTTTCGTCCCAATCCCAATTCAGAAGACGACGGGAGGTGGGTGGGCGGGGACGGTCGCACCAGCTCTGCTGGCTGCGGGCTGGCTGCGGCCCCGTCCCTCCCTCCTGGAGCTCCGCCGCCCGGGATGGGCGCCCCGGGCCGCCCCGCGGCCCCCGCCCGCCCCGCGGCGCCCGCGCTTACCTAGAGTGGACTGCAGCAGGCCCAGCAGCAGGGGGACCCACCGCCCGGCCCCCGCCAGGCCGGCTCCAGCGCTGCCCGCCTGGCGCGGCCAGGTCCCACCTCCCGGAGCCTCCGGGCTCACCGGCCCGCAGGTTGCCGCGGCCAGCAGCCACTGGGAGGCCGATTCGCGGGCCCGGGGCGGGGCCGGGCGGGGGCTTTCCTCGGGGTAGGCCAGCACCCGCGAGCGAGGCTGGCAGCCGGCTCCGCGCGCCGCCTCCGCTCCATGACCGCTGTGGCTCCTCTGTGCCCGCACTGCCCTTTGTTCAGCGGGATCCGGGCGCTGGGGGTGGGGGTGGGGGTGGGGGTGGAGTATCGGTAAATCCGTACATGGAGGGAGGGCAGGGAAGAAGTGCTTATTACCAATAACCGCAGTTAGGAGTTCCATTTAGGAGTTCAGTATGGGCTTTCAAAGAGGACTAAGAGAAGTGTTCAGAGCTAGTTTAACAACACAGCCCCAGACACCGCTGGCGGTGTCAGAGCGAGGTCTATGCACCAGATACTAAGCCAAGCCCTTCCCACACACTGTCTACTTTAATCCCTCTGAAAATCTGGTGGGTCGGTCCTGTTACCGTGTGTATCCTTCACACCGGGAGTGGCAGCCTCTAGAGCTAACGGACTCGTTCTGGGGGAGGCGGGAGCCCTGGTGTGTTACCCCGCACCCCAACAGTAATCACCTCCGAGCAAGAACGAGCCTCTCCGCAGAATAGTCTACTGTCATTTAAAAGGATGTTGCCCAGGGATGTGTAATGACTCGGGGATGTTTCCAACAGACTCAGTAGCAGAAAAGCAGGTAGCCAAATACGGCCCCATTAACAAAAAATCTGTGTGTCCCGTGGGGCGCCTGGGTGGCTCAGTCGGTTGAGAGGCTGCCTTCCCCTCAGGTTAGGATCCCAGGGTCCTGGGATTGAGTCCAGAGTGGGGCTCCCTGCTTGGTGGGGAGCCTGCTTCTCCCTCTCCCTCTGCCTGCTGCTCTGCCTGCTGGTACTCTCTGCCAAATAAATAAACAAAATCTTAAAAAAAAAAATCTGTATGTCCATAGGCATGGATAACAGATCAAGGATCTATACCAGCATGTTCGTGGTTGTTAATTTCTGGGTGATGAAGAGATATATATCATATATATATATATATATATATATATATATATATATATATATTTCTTCTTTCTGCTCATGTTTGGTTTCTAAGTTTTTCAATAATTTATCTGTATTGCTTTTCCAGTCAGATTCTGAAAGGAATTA